ACGGTAGGTGGCAGCAGCACGGTCACCACTTTTTGCGCGGCAGGGAGTGGTTGGAGGAGGTTCAGGGGATAAGAAGGGGGGTGAGGGTGTTGTGGGAGGATTTGGGGGGAAAGGAAGCAGCAAGGCCTCTAAGAGCCTCGATCTTGTCACGTCGTTTGGAACAGAAGAACCACCAGAAGAAATTAATCAGCTCAAACCCATGGGGTGGGGACGTTCTTGGTCCTGTCGCCCCAACCAAGACAATGCAGTGCCTCCACGGACCGATGGACGGACGGATGGACGGACGGACGGACGGACGCACGGACAAAAGTGACCGATCTGGGAGGAGTAGTGGACGGAAACGGCGAGGGATTACCGATGAGCTGCACGTCGAACGGACGCAGGCCGAGAACGCGCTTGGAAGCTTCGCGCACCACAGCAAACGCCTCCTGCATAACACACAGGCAGGCAGGCAGGCAGGCAGGCAGCGAGAGAGAGCGAAATCCGAAAAGATGTTGACAGAATTATATCAATAGTAGGGTCTGCTTCGTCAGAAGTTGGTACGCCACAGAATGAATACCGCGATTGCTAATGACAGGTCGATGACTGCCTTTGCAAACGAATTAAATTGATCCGCAACAACCAGAAGCGCCGTTCCAACAGACGGTCAACTTCGTTGTGGTTTGCCTGGCTGACGACGCGCATTTCGCGGAATTTTCCAGTTGCGATCGTCCAAGGTAACAGGAACAGGGAAAACTACCTTGATAACCAGAACGGAAATAATTTACCGCGGCTTCATTGCTCCTTCGAGTTCCGTTTCATCCTCCACCATTACTTGTCGTTTCGTACTCGTACCTTTCACTACGTTGACCTCAATTACACAACGTCGTATTCTGGCGAGCATGCTATTAAAAAAGACTGGCACGGCCTTAGAACGGCCGCGAATTCCGCGAACGACCACGGGCAGAAGAAAGAAATTTTTCCAAAGATTAAGGACCACCTTTGCACCTCAGCAACCCTCGAATTTATCGGCGATGTTCGTACGCGAGTTTGCAGACTTTCAACTTGCGCTAACTGAACATCCATATTCTAAAAACACGTTCTATGCTGTGAATTATACGCCTCAATGCTTGAACTATGATAAAGGCTTTAAATCAATTAACCCAAAACCTGGTCGTTAGGACTATAGGCAGTGCTCGGTGTTCTTAGGCGCATCAAGTATCACTTTAACCTAAAATTTGGTAGTAAATTAGGTCTACAAAGATTCACTCCAGACTTACAGGCAGTACACTGTCCAGCGATTCGCCCGCCGCGACGCGTTTCTTGAGGTCAACGGTCATGGCGCGCAGCTGGTCGTCCGTCATCTTCTGCATCACCGGCTCGAACTTATTCACCTCCGCCACGCGGTCGGCGTACTGCTGACGTGTCTTCTCCGCTGGGTCCCCTCCGCCGAACAGCCCCCCCAGCATTCCCCCCATGCCTCCAAGCGCAGCTGTCGCCGTTCCAGACCTACCTGTTTTCGCTCCTACTGACTTAGGCCCAGCGGAACGATTCGTGGAGTTCGAGGGAGAAGGGGTTTGCAGGCAGACAGGGGTGCTAGGAGCAGCGGGAACGCTCGGAGCGGCCTCTGGGACGGCTTGAGAAGGCAGCGTGAGCGACATTCGAGAGGCTCCCTTATAGAAGCTGCTATTCTTGCTGGCGCTGCTATTGTTAACGCCATCGAAGCTGGCACGGCGACGCTGATTCACGGGCTTAGAGGAGAGAGAATAAGTAGCGTTCGGAGCTGTCGGCCGGAGAGCAGCGGCAGGACCCGTGCGGAGATCAGCGCACGCAGAGGCGAGCAAATGCGAAGCCATGGCTGTCGCTGGTGCGTACTGAGAAACAGGCGGTCAAATTAACCGCACGGAATTATCTCGCTCCTCGGCTGTCAGTCTTCCTTAGCTAAGGAACAGATTGGAAAGTAAAGTACAATTTCTGAACAAGCGATCTCTTCTAGAAGGGAGAATCAAGGGAGCGTGCGTGGGTTTGAGCATCAATGATGTGGAAGGACAGGATTAGACGAAGTTGGATTGCTGTTTCGGCTGGGAAAAGTATTTCTCCCCTCCTCGCCTCGATGGAGCCCTGAATCCTTCTCCAGAAAATACTACACTAGTACAAAGAATCAGTCTCGTTTTCAGACCGACGCACTGAGAAAGCTCATTTTGTCTTCTACTGGGGCGCGCGGTGGCGAGTAGAGACAACGGTACATTTTCTTTGGTAAGTGCTACAGCACGAAGCACCTCTCGGACTGTTTCTGTGTCTCAAATTTTGGAAAGGGGGTGAAGAAATATTCATCAACTCGCTGATGTGTATGAATCGAAAGAGGTGGGCCACATGAGCACTATCCTCGCCATAAGCCATCGATTCTGGTATCAGAAACTGCAATGATAATCATTTTCTGTTTATATATTTCCTGCTTATCCACTTCTGCTAAAACCAGTTAACAACAAAAGATGTCATTCCTGTGCTTTGAAGCTGTGAAAATGAATTATGAACTACAAATGATGAATTAATAAATGTTACAATTGATCGTTCCACATCATTTATATTTGCACATTCACTACTCTTGTTAATTTACTCTACATGACTATATCTGCTTCTTCCCTTCTGCTCCCACAATGTATCAATTGAGCACAGGATCTCAAGGTCAGTCGGACCACAATCTACCGTCTGGGATTCAGAAGTCAGGGGCGTGCATGGAGATGGATTAGAGAGCCATGGAGACTGGCAATGCAGCAAGGCATCTACCCCACCAGCAGGCACGTTCAGGTCCGGAATTATGGCTCTGGGATCTGGTTCTTGATGACAGGTAGCAGACCCCTCCATTGACTCGCAAAGGTGAGCCATCAAGGCTTCCATTTGGTCGTTTCCTGAGTCTGGTGCCTGAACCTGCCCAACAGAGAGTATGGTTAGCCCCACTTGCCCCTTACTCCTAAAATAATCAGCCCAACTTGGTACGGCGTCGCAGCTTTTGCCAACAGCTGCGAAAAAGTTACTTGTAATGCGCTCTGATCTTGGTGGTAACGAACTTCCACCAAGGAACGCCTCAGCTTCGTATGCGCTCCGGAGCTGCATCCGTGACTCTGGCATCTGAGAGCTTCCAAACTGCTCAGCTTCTCTTGTTAAAAAAATCTGCAATCTTTTTTCCTCAGAAGACGCTGAAGCATCAGAAAAGTTGTACGCATCACCATGACCGTCACAAGCAGCATATCTGGCGTGATCGTGGTCGTCAGTTTGCGGCGAGCAGCGCTCTCGGACCAGCTGTGTTGCCCGCGGACTTCGTGGCGCTGTTGCCACGTCGGGTCTGCATCTGGAGCCCCCAGTTGTGATCATGGCGAGGTCCAAGCTCGACGCTTCAGGTGAAGAACAATGTTCCGATGAAGCTGCTGAAAGGCCTCACGAGAACCCTCAGGGCTGAACACTCTCGTAGTAGTGACAGTAAGACGTTGAATCGAAGTCTAAATGTGCTAGGTGGTAATACTGGAAGTAGCTTCCACATAAAGAAAGATATATGAAACGACGCCGGATGGTCCCGTTGCCATCTACAGTAGCTCGCCCAAGGTGCTCTCGCTGAGTGCAGTCAGTACGGCAGCTGCCTGTAAGAACCATGTTTACTATGAATGCAGCTTCCTCTGAACCATGTTTAGGAAAACGCAATGCACGGTTGATAATGCTGTAAAGAATGCGGTGATACTGAACTTTTTCCAACGATCAAATCTCTGCTTCCCAACGTACAACCGTTGCGGCTATTATCCACCAATCCGCTTGCTTTGAGATGCCATCGCGCAGTGCTGTCCGTCCGTTCGCTCCCAGCATTTTAGGTCAGTCGAACACAAAATTGAGATAAGGGCGAGGTACATTACCACTGTAGGGTTCCCAGAGCCTCGAACTAATGGTTCTGAAGAAGGGTAACAAGTGGTATAGCTCATCTTCAAAACGCTACTATACGGTATCGTGGTTTCCCTGATTGTTCAAAGCTTGAAGCCTCTTGTTTTGAGATAATCTACACACCTTCTAGAAGAAAGCGGGTTCCGTACAGCAGGCCTGAGGATTCTAAAACACTGGAAAACTAGAGTAGATTTTTGGATCTTCGCGATCCCGCAATATCTGTGAATATCCAACTGCTCCAGCCGTTGGTTCCTCTTCCAAACCTAAACCCTGCCCCCCTCGGTGTGCAACCCTGCCCCCCTCGCTGTGCAACCCTGCCTTGCTCGTGCTGGGTGGGCGAGGTGAGGTGAGGAAATGAGGAGCAAACGAGTGCTGTTCTGCCATGCCCGGCTTGTGAGAAGAAGTTCCACTCCACGTGTCACGCACGTGTGAACTGTTGGATCACGCACATGTTTGACGTGTGAGAAGAAGATCCGATTGTTGCACGCTTGCCGCTGGATCGCATCGCAATCGTGGATCCTAAATCTCGGAAACACAGGTTCTGTTCGATTGGTGGAACCAAATTACAGTAGTTGGCAAATCCCTCCCCGTATCCGATGATATCTAGCGATTTTTCTCCGCTGTAGGCAAGCTGAGCTTTTGGGCTGAGAACGCTGTCTCCTCGTTGATAGTTTAGGGGTTGTAACTTGGCAATATATAAATAAAAAAGACTGGACTCCAAACAAGGCTACTTGCGGTTGATTGATTCAAAACTTAACCATGCTGGAGGAAGCTGCCGTACGGTGCAGAGTAGTACCTGTTCAAACTCTGAATTATTACAGAAAATTTTCATGCCCCTACAGAGTGCTATCAAACCAAACACATTAGAATGCCACCTAACTTACACAGTTGACCAGGGCAATACAAATAACACAAACTGGACGATCAAGTGCTGGACATAAACTATGGCACCGGTATTGCCACCACAGCTTGTGCAGATATTCATGACCCAATCAACTACCAGGATTATGCAACCCTTGTCTACGTACAAGTGTAGAATGGGAATTACAAAAAGGTATACACGAGCGTTGCGCCAGCCTACACAGTGCATAATATCATACCCCGTATTTACCAAATGGTGGTTGAAGATCTTCTGGGGTAACATTCAGCACATGATTTGCCATGCCTGCCACGTCATCAACAATGATGCCATCCACCCCATGGTACTGCTGGAAATGCGCTGCATCCACGCCATCACTGCAATGACAACACAAAACATGCAATGGGTGAAACCAGTGCACAAATGGCTCTTATACCTGGTGATGCCATAGAGGCGCAGCAGATCCGCGTCCTTCACTAGACATGGGGCGTTTCTTATATTTCTCCAGGTGTTTTCGAGGGGTGTTTTCGAGAACTCTTAAAAACACCCTAAAACTCTGAATTGGTGATGCCATGGAAGAGCAGCATATCCGCGTCCTTCACCAGACGAGCTAGAGAGAATAAGCAGGGACTACCGTATGATGAATGCATGGCGCATGGAGTGTGCTGTGGCACTCACTTGGTGGTGCCATAGGAGAAGAGCAGCAAACCTGCGTCTTTCACAGCTCGAATGGTGGCTGAGTCAGCAAGGAGCGTCTTCACTTCAGAGACCACACCAGCTAGCCCATCTGACGTGGAGCACACGGATTGGTGGGATGATGATGGACGGTGGTGGGTGGGTAGAATGATGTGGAACACACGAGTCTGTGGGATGATGAGTATCACACCGGTTGGTGGGATGATGATGGACAATGGTGGGTGGGTAGAATCATGTGGAACACACGAGTCTGTGGGATGATGAGTATCACACCGGTTGGTGGGATGATGATGGACAATGGTGGGTGGGTAGAATCATGTGGAACACACGAGTTTGTGGGATGATGAGTATCACATCGGTTGGTGGGATGATGAGACACACACCGATTGGTGGTATAATGTGAAACATACGGTTTGGTGGGATGACGTGGAACACACGGCTTGGTCGGATGATGTGAAACACACGGCTCGGGGGGATGATGCGGAACAGAAGGGTTGGTATGATGACGTGGAACACATGGATGATGTGGAACACATGGATGACGTGGAACACATGGATGACGTGGAACACAAGGAGAGTGCCGGAATGGAAGCAGAGAGCAATTGAAAGAGACCCTCCACAACAACACAGGCTGTTGCCTGCTGCTCACATTATGATCGAGTGCGGATGAATGGGAGTGGTCTGTGGTGTTTTGTGGTGTCGGATGCAACTCATGGGCCTTGCAGTGAGCCACAGCAGCTTGCACGTAGTTCATTCTCTCGTCACTGGTGGTGTTTGGTCGGTGAGCGGTGGTTAGGTGGGAGGTGGTTGGTGCAGAGTGGCTCGGCAGTGTGCATGGCAGTGTGCATGGCAGCATGCATGGCAGTGTGCATGGCAGTGTGCATGGCAGTGTGCATGGCAGTGTGCATGGCAGTGTGCATGGCAGCGTGCATGGCAGTGTGCATGGCAGTGTGCATGGCATGGCAGTGTGCATGGCAGCGTGCATGGCAGTGTGCATGGCAGTGTGCATGGCAGCGTGCATGGCAGCGTGCATGGCAGTGTGCATGGCAGCGTGCATGGCAGTGTGCATGGCAGTGTGCATGGCAGTGTGCACGGCAGCATGCATGGCAGTGTGCATGGCAGTGTGCAAGGCAGCGTGCATGGCATTATGCATGGCAGCGTGCATGGCAGTGTGCATGGCAGCGTGCATGGCAGTGTGCATGGCAGTGTGCATGGCAGTGTGCATGGCAGCGTGCATGGCAGCGTGCATGGCAGTGTGCATGGCAGCGTGCATGGCAGTGTGCATGGCAGTGTGCATGGCAGTGTGCACGGCAGCATGCATGGCAGTGTGCATGGCAGTGTGCATGGCAGTGTGCATGGCAGCGTGCATGGCAGTGTGCATGGCAGTGTGCATGGCAGTGTGCATGGCATGGCAGTGTGCATGGCAGCGTGCATGGCAGTGTGCATGGCAGTGTGCATGGCAGCGTGCATGGCAGTGTGCATGGCAGTGTGCACGGCAGCATGCATGGCAGTGTGCATGGCAGTGTGCAAGGCAGCGTGCATGGCATTATGCATGGCAGCGTGCATGGCAGTGTGCATGGCAGGGTGCATGGCAGTGTGCATGGCAGCGTGCATGGCAGTGTGCATGGCAGTGTGCATGGCAGCGTGCATGGCAGTGTGCATGGCAGTGTGCACGGCAGCATGCATGGCAGTGTGCATGGCAGTGTGCAAGGCAGCGTGCATGGCATTATGCATGGCAGCGTGCATGGCAGTGTGCATGGCAGCGTGCATGGCAGTGTGCATGGCAGCGTGCATGGCAGTGTGCATGGCAGTGTGCATGGCAGCGTGCATGGCAGTGTGCATGGCAGTGTGCACGGCAGCATGCATGGCAGTGTGCATGGCAGTGTGCAAGGCAGCGTGCATGGCATTATGCATGGCAGCGTGCATGGCAGTGTGCATGGCAGCGTGCATGGCAGTGTGCATGGCAGTGTGCATGGCAGCGTGCATGGCAGTGTGCATGGCAGTGTGCATGGCAGCGTGCATGGCAGTGTGCATGGCAGTGTGCACGGCAGCATGCATGGCAGTGTGCATGGCAGTGTGCAAGGCAGCGTGCATGGCATTATGCATGGCAGCGTGCATGGCAGTGTGCATGGCAGCGTGCATGGCAGTGTGCATGGCAGCGTGCATGGCAGTGTGCATGGCAGTGTGCATGGCAGCGTGCATGGCAGTGTGCATGGCAGTGTGCACGGCAGCATGCATGGCAGTGTGCATGGCAGTGTGCAAGGCAGCGTGCATGGCATTATGCACGGCAGCGTGCATGGCAGTGTGCATGGCAGCGTGCATGGCAGTGTGCATGGCAGCGTGCATGGCAGTGTGCATGGCAGTGTGCATGGCAGTGTGCATGGCAGTGTGCACAGTGCGCATGGATGCAACTCACGGGCCTTGCAGTGTGCCACAGCAGCTTGCACCGAGTTCATTCTCTCGTCACTGAAGCTGCCGCACCCCACTGTCAAAAAAAGAACCTTGAGGGGCAGAGAAGGCACGAGTGGAGTGGAGAGACACACGGTTGGAAGTTGGAACAGAGGGTACAGGGTGCAACAGAGGGTACAGGGTGGAACAGAGGGTACAGGGTGGAACAGAGGGTACAGGGTGGAACAGAGGGTACAGGGTGGAACAGAGGGTACAGGGTGGAACAGAGGGTACAGGGTGGAACAGAGGGTACAGGGTGGAACAGAGGGTACAGGGTGGAACAGAGGGTACAGGGTGGAACAGAGGGTACAGGGTGGAACAGAGGGTACAGGGTGGAACAGAGGGTACAGGGTGGAACAGAGGGTACAGGGTGGAACAGAGGGTACAGGGTGGAACAGAGGGTACAGGGTGGAACAGAGGGTACAGGGTGGAGGCAGGTGCGGACACACGTATAGATTAGATGGATTGGAGCTAGGAATTCTTAAAACAATTGAGAAATTTGTATATCTGTATATAAATTATCTATACATATCGTGTGTGCCCCTCACCCTGACTGACAACCTCCTCCTGGGATCTTGAAATCTCCTCACCATGCATTCATCCTCCCTCGCTTCACCTCCTATTTACTCTCCCTCTCGGTTCACCTCCTGCTTCTTCTCCCTCGCCCCACCTGGTGTTTGGATTGCCTCTTCTTGAGCTCCACCACAGCGTCTGGCATGAACAAGGAGAAGAAGAGAGGCCGCGACGCACAGGTTCGCCTTTCTATCACCTGCGAGCTTCAGCACCCCCGTTTTGCAGCTTCGACTCGCCTCACCTGGTGCTTGGATTGCCGCCTCTTCAGCTCCACCACAGCATCTGGCATGAAGGAGGAGAAGAAGAGACGCCGCGACCCACTGTGCGAGTCCACCACCTGTATGCATGCATAGGGGTTGCCGCATGCAGCATGCAGCATGCAGCATACATCACGCACCACCATACACCATACAGCATGCAGCATAGAGAGCACGACACCTTGTTGTTTCTAACTGACAGATTGATGCTCGACAGAAACACATCACTTAAACAACACATCACTTAAACAACACATCCCAACCAACACATTACATCACATTAGGAAAGCATCACGAGAATAAAACATCGCTTACAAAGAACAAGACGAACACACCCCTCTTCTCAGATAAACTCACAGGGGAGAGCACAGAGACGATTGTATCTATCCATCACCGCAGTAGCCTGACTAGGGTCGATGACTAGCCTGACTAGCCTGACTAGCCTGACTAGAAAATCAGCTCGCTGAACTCACCGGCAGCAGGGCAGAGAGGATTCTGTCAATCTCAGCAGCCCCCCCGGCATCCTTGGAGTCATCAGCAGCGAATTTGACCTCCACGTTGAACCCTATGGCGGGGTCAACTCGGTCTAACAGGTCAACCAGGGTGGGCATCGCGTCCTCCTCTTCCGCCACCCATGTGTACGTGCTGCCGTCCCTGCGCCTCCGTATCAGCTGCTGGCCCATCTGGCAGCATAGGGAAGGGAGAGCGTGCACGTTTTAAAAAAGGTGCTTGGATTGCCTTTTCTTCAGCTCCACTTGGATGGTTTGGACCCTTTGCCTTTCGCCCACCTCCTCACCTTCCCGGGTCGCTTTGGAGAATTCTCTGAAGCAACCCCCACTTGGATTGGACTGAGCCCTTCGTCTTTTGCGTTGACTTAAGAGTAGCCCACCTTCTCACCTTTCCAGGGGTCCGTGACGGCCCGATGGCCTGGAACTCAGAGAGTGTATCGCTGGAGATCTCAATGACCCACCTCACTCACTCACTCACTCACTCACTCACTCACTCACTCACTCACTCACTCACTCACCCACTCACTCACTCACTCACTTACTCACTCATTGATTGAAGAACGTCCACCCTCTCCCACTCACCTTTCCAGGGGTCTGTGACGGCCCGATTGCCTGGAACTCAGAGAGTGTATCGCTGGAGATCAGAGATCTTGCAATCCAGCTGCAGGCAGGGGGGGGGCGGAGGGTGAGAGAGTGGGGCGGGAGAGGGTGGAAAGCATTGGGGAGAGGAAAAATGACGAGAGATTTGAGCCGACGCGAAGGTCACTTTAAACAGCCTGATTGATTGAAACTCGGTGAGAGAAAGAGTGAAACTCAAGTCTGCATTGGACTGCAAGACGGCTGCCTTGCAGTCTATTTGAGGCCCGAAAGCTTGCGGTTCAGCTGCAGGATTGAGGGGGGGGAGGGTGGGAGGGAAGGGAGGGGGAAGAAGGCCGAATAGAGGGGAGTGTGGAGGAGAGAGGGGGGGTGGTAGGGAGTGGAGGAGGGGTGACAGGAGAGGGGGAAGGGCATGCATACGTGGGAGATGAGAGACTTTGCAGTCCAGCAGCAGGAAGACGGGGGTGAGGAGAAAAGCCGTGCGTGTGGGCGTGTGAAAGCGAAGATATTGCTTCTAGAGACGCCTTAAAACTGAGATCAGAGATATCATGTGTGATGCTATCTGCACGGCACATCTTACCCCGTCAGCAGTGAGGATGTGATTATCGTGAAAGATGACTGGGACGCCGTCCTTTGTCACCTGCACTACAGTCACACCGAACCGACATCACGCACGGAAGCATGAAGAATCAGAAAGAGTGACAGAACGGACTATTGTAGACATAACACAAGACACTCTTAACTGGTTAAGAGACAACGATGACATAGACCAGACACAAGCAACTTTCACAGGATCCAACAAATCCACACGTATTACCGGATCTACCTGAAATGCGCCACTCAGCACCAGGCTCCGCCACCGTTCACCGCTCTGCATCTTAACACAACGAACCGGAACCCACCTGTACATCGAACTCTACAAAATCTATGCCCAGTTTCGCCGCTCGGTTCATCGACAGAACCGTGTTCTCTCGAATGTCCGGCGAGGCTCTACATGCTCCAGTTCCCGCCAACGCTGTTTCCGGCGCCGGGGTAGCGACTGGGGGAGGTCGGTTCTGCCCGACGCCTCTGTGCCCGACGAACACGAGCCGCGCATGGCCGGCTGACGTGGTCAGACCGGAGAGAGACGACATGGCGTGCGAACAGCAGTCTTCCGCCCAAAAAAGCTCCCGTCGCCTCCGCGAAGGTCCCCCCCCTCAATATTTTAATGAAATTCGGAGGTACTGTCAGAGGAGGAATGACGAATGCAGTAGTGTGAACAGGGGGTTTGTTGAAAAAAAGGATGCAGCGGCGACTTCAAGAGTGCTGTGGGATGGAAGCGCCTGCGAGAAAATACTCCGATGGCAGTCTCGAGAGTGCTGTGGGATTTCTTAGGATGAGGTATGCTGTTTTGTGGCACATGAGATTCCGTTCTCAATGCAAGCTATCAACGCTACAAGCACAGAAATTGCTGTCACAATTGGCTCTACATGAACAATCTATATATTCTCTTAGAACATACGGCTAAATAAGCGGTACATTTTCTAAAATGATACAAACCATATCAGGATATTCACTGATAAAAACTCTGTTTCAAGTGGAATTCATAATTAAGCCTTGTGCTCACGATTTATTTTTTGCGCATTCACAAAATTTGTTTTGCACATTCTGTAACGAATGACCACCACAAATTTAAAAAGAAAAAATCCCAAAATACATAAAATTCATTACCTGGTTTCAAATCGTCCCCATTCTTCTCTAGACAATTCTGGTTCTAATCAGGTGAAAACAATATTAAGGATCATGTGAACTTGTGCGTCTGATATTGCTGTAACGTGTTTATGTAGCGGTGCTCTCTGCCTCGAGTATTTATTGTTCTGAAGTTCGCTCTTTGCTCCTTGGAACCATCGCAGCGCTTCTGATTATCTGATACATTGTGTCAGAGATACGCGGAATCTGGGCCATCGATATCCGAACCTCGGTGCGCTGCACTCCTCCTCTGACAACCCAGCTTAGAAAGGTTTTTAGGATCTATTATGAAATAGGACATTTCAGTTCAGTGTCATGAAAATGCCTAAATTCCAATAAACTGCTGGAGCTCATGCTGAAACGATTTTCGTTTTTTGCTTTCGATGAAACAAGCTCTAGGTTTGAGAGATTGTTCTAATGTTTGTAGACATCCCAATCCCTCTTCCCCCTTGTGTTCAACGAACTGGAGGGGTTTGACTCACCCTCTCAGAATTCCTAGTGAGAAGTCGCGATTCGATCCGAGCAGAGTTTGCCGCCATTTATTTTCTGGCACCATAGCTGCCATCCGTTTCTCCGATCACCCATCCCACAAGCTGGGACTGCTGCGCATACTGTACCATTCTCCCTTGCTTGATGCTGGCTCTGACACGCTTGCTGCAGGCCACAATGCCTCTGATTGATAGAGTAGTTGACGTGTGGCAAGAGTGAGTCGTCTATCGCAAAAGTAATGGAGGAACCAAGGATAGGAGGGCTCCCATGGCGTGTGCCAGTGATAGGTACTGGGAGCCGCCTTGCAACCGACTCCTACTGAACTTTCAACCCGCCTGGACGCCACGCGACTCCCTTGGTCCCCAGGGACGGATTCTGCGTAGGTACAAGTCGTTCAACGAACCTGACTCGCTACAGCTGTCGCTTTTGATCGGATAGTGGATGTGCGACGCATCTAGCGACTTATCACAAGCGGCGCAGCTGATCCTCTCTCGCCCCAGTGTTCGCTGACTTAGTGGAATCTCCATTTCTGGGTCGACGATTCAAAGTATTAACCCTCTCTCGAGAATACTGGTCGCACGCTTGATGAAGTAGCTTTCCCGGCAAAACTCGTGTTGTACAGCTATATCAGTAGACATGAAGTGCATCATTCGGTGCCGGCCTATTTCTGCTGTTTGCTCTGAAACATATTTACATATGCTTAAGGATTGCACTAGAGGACTCACGCGCCGCGCATCGTTTGAATAAAATATAGAAAATGGACGCGCATCGACAGACCTAGGCCTGGATTCCTTTGCGGTGGAGCGAGTGATAACGCAGCAAGGAAGTGACATCTGAGTCTACTTAAAAGCCATCTCGTAACTAACAGAACAACGTCAAGTAGCGCTATACGTATAGTCAAGATGTCTTGAGCTTTCTAATAGCTTCTTATACCTAGTTGCCGGATGATTCAGACCCTCAAGCAGTAGCTTCTATCCTGGTGGAGATTTCTAGCAGATAGCATGAGTCCTTTGCAGGACATAACACAGCATCGAAACATGGCGGCATCGCCGGTCGACTGGACCTCGCGTCGTCCGCCTATTTCGCGGCGATCCGACGACTTCACTGCCGTGGTGCCGGCAACGACCTGGAAAAGGCAAACTCCTACTTTTCCGACTGCTCAGAAAAGCTCGAGTTTTCCAACTTGGACTGCGAGGAACGTCTTGACGAACGGCGGCGTTTCAGCACGGCGTTTCAAAACGGCGTGAAACTCGCTCCAGGAAGCCAATCCAAACGGCCGCGAAAGTCGCCCTCTGGTCGGATCGGCGACGCGATGTTCGGAACAGAGCAAGGATCGACTGACTTCGCGTCCTCCGCCGCATACGGCGGGTCGCTGAACTAGAGAGTGTCGCGATTCGTCCTCGCGTACTTGCCGCCGGGATTCCGGGAGCTTCCAGTGCTGGCGGCTGGCGGGAGTCGGATGAAGTCGTCGCAGCTGGTGCTCTGGGTGGGGCTGCTCGCGCTCCTCTCTTGCGCCTCCATCTGGCTCCTGGTACGCATGGTGGCTCGTGTGTGATAAGTCGAGTTTTGAGTCGACTCAAAACTCGACTTATCGGTACGCATGGTGGCTCGAAGTTGCTGGTACGACCATGTCGATCATTACCTCTCTGCTGTCGATCATTATTATCTCACCTCCGTGCACTGGGTTGGGCTGCGCGCGCTCCTCTCCTGCGCGTCCATCTGGCTCCTGGTACATCGATGACCACGTTCATTCCGTCGCTGTTGCTCTTGCCATTGCGGAATTGTAAGCTCGCCTCCATCTGGCTCCTGGTACGACGTAAGACTATGGCGATCATTGTCTCTCTGTTGTTCTTGCTATTGAAACTTTGACACCTCGCCTCCTTGCACTGACTGGTTCTGCTCGCGCTCTTCTCCTGCGCGTCCATATCGAGTTTGAACCGAGTCCGAGCCAAGTCCGAGCCGAGTCCGAGCCAAGTCCGAGCCGAGTCCGAGCCGAGTCGAGCCGGTTCCGAATCGAGTCCCAGTCCGAGTCGAGTTCGGTCGAGTTCGGGCCCAACTCGAGTTCGACTCGAGCGCGAGCCGAGTCCGAGTAGACTCGAGTTCGATTCGAGAGTGTGAGTCGAGTCCGTGTTTGAGTCATCACGCCCAGACGCGTACCCACGTGCGTTCAAAGCAGGTGCACCTCACGTAGCTCACTCGCAGTCTTAGTTCCATCCCTCACTCCCCCTCCCCCTCCCCCTCCCCCTCCCCCTCCCCCTCCCCCTCCCCCTCCCCCTCCCCCTCCCCCCTCCCCCTCCCCCTCCCCCCCCTCCCCCTCCCCCTCTCCCCCCTCCCCCCCCCCCCTCTCGCTTGACTTTCTCCTCCCATACCTGCAGGCACCGAGGCTTGACTTTCCCCTCCCCCTCCCCCCCGCTTGGACCGCGTTGCCAGCGCCCCCCGTCCTTCCGCGCCGCATCCTCGTGACGCCGACGTACCCGCGCACGCTCCAGGCGGCATACCTCCCGGAGCTCACTCACAGTCTTAGTTCCATTCCCCCTCCGCCTCCCCCTTCCCCCCTCCCCCTCTCCACCCCCTTTTGACAGGCACCGAGGCTCGCCTGGTCCTCATTGCCAGCGCCGCCTGTTCCGCCGCGCCTCATCCTGGTGACGCCCACGTACCCGCGCGCGTTCCAGGCGGCGTACCTCACGGAGCTCACTCACACGCTGCGCCTCGTGCCGCCGCCACACACGTGGATCGTCGTGGAGAGCGGGAACAAGGTACGTTACGCCTCAACCCCCCCCCACCCCCCCCCCTCCCCCCTCGATTCCCTCCTCACACCGGACCTCAACCACACGTGGATCATCGTGGGGAGCGGGAACAAGGTACGGATCTTGTTGATAACCCGTCCCTCGGATCTTGGTGATTTTTCAGTGAACTCAAGAATCAAACTTCGAGAGCGGGAACAAGATTCGTGCATCCCCTCCCTCGGTTCTTGTCATACAAGGCGCGACGTGCGAGTATGAGTGCCGTATCCTTTCTGTTCTAGTTATAAAAGGCGCAGCGTGTGAGTGCGAGTGCGAATTTCCTGCTTCTCATCCAATCCCCCCTTCTGAACCCGGGTGAGCAACCCGGTTCTGAACCCTCGTGCAAGCATGACCATACTCTGCTTGTTCTGCTGGGTTGCGTGCAGACACAGGAAACGGTCATGCTGCTAGAGCGGAGCGGACGGCAGGCTGCTGTGCAGCGGAGGAAGCTCTACCGCTCCCCGTCTAACGCCCTCTTCTAAACCCTTGTGTTACCTTTCGTGTGATGTGCAGACGGAGGAAACGGCCCTGCTGCTAGAGCGGACGGCAGGCTTCTGCGCAGCAGTGGAGGGAAGCGGGTGTCGGAAGCTCGAGTATGTTCATATCGCCACCAGGAATGTGAGTTCATATCATATAGCTGCCGGGAGTACCAGCGTGCGCAGAGATTCACGCTGCTTGCTTGCTCCCATCGCCTCATCATCATCACGCCTGTCAGCTACCTGCCGGAATGAGGTGAAAAAAAGCCTGTTGTCATGCTGCTCCCATCACTCCGCTCTCTGCACTCTCCCACATCCTCTTCATTCCCTTGGTGCTTTCATGCCATCATGCCTTGGATACCTTGATGCCTTCACGCCTTCATGCCCTCACGCCTTCATGCCTTCCTACCATCCACGTCATGCCTGGCAGAACGAGGAGGACCAGCGGTGGTTTCAAGGCGTCGGCCAGAGGAACCTAGCTCTCGAGTACATAGAAAGGGAGAATCTCGAAGGATTTGTTTACTTTATGGACGACGACAACTCGTACGCGCTGCAGCTGTTTGAGGAGTTGAGTAAAGAGGCTTCCCTCGTTGACCCACTCCCTGCTCCCCACTCCTCACAATCTCCTCCCTTCTGCCCGGCTCTCCACCCCATCCCCGCCCGCCCTTTTCAGGACGAGGACCAGCGGTGGTTCCGCGGCGTGGGGCAGCGCAACCTGGCCCTGGAGTATATAGAGAGGGAGAATCTGGAGGGGATTGTGTACTTTATGGACGATGACAACTCGTACGCGCTGCAGCTGTTTGAGGAGCTGAGGAAGATTCGGCGCATCGGGCTGCTGCCGGTGGGGTTCCTGTTTGGCAAGGACAGCCCCATGCGCTCGTATGTCGGCCGCCCGGTGGTGCGCGTGCCATTGAAAGGGGACAGAGGGGGTGAGAGGGAGACGGGGGAGAGAGGAGGGGTTGAGAGGGAGGGTGACGCTTCAGTGGAGGGCAGTAGAGACGGGGGCAGCACCAGCACTGGCAGCGGCGGCGGCGGTGGCGGTGGCAGCAGTAGCGACAATGTTACTGCTTCTGGGAGTGTCAGCAAAGCATCAACCGCGAAAGCTAGAGCCCCTGGTGGTGGCGGTGGCAGTGGATACGAGGGCGGGGAGATGGAGCAGGTGACAAGGGCGCGGATTGTGGGGTGGGAGGCGTATAGCCGGCGCGTCCCCCTGCAGAGAGACCCCGAGGCACGGCGATACATCATGGACATGGCTGGGTTTGCTTTCAGGTATGCCTGTGGACCAGAGATTGAGGATGAGAGGTTGCATGCAGAGGGCATTCTTGTGACTGAAAGACTAGTGAGACCCCGAGGCACGGCGACGCATCATGGACATAGCGGGGTTTGCTTTCAGGTGAGCAAAGGGCTTGATTTGCTGTCAGTTAGGAACCAGATCTCCCATCTGGGCGCGCCCTGTGTCGCGCGTGTTGCACCGAGTACAGACAACGGATGCTTGAAACACAGCTTTGGAGGAGCATGTTTCACTTTTATATAGGCATGCCAACACTCTTTCCTGTGCGCCCTGTGGTGTGTGTATGCAGCACGGAAGCTCTTCGCAATGGTACGGTCCAGGGGAAGAAGCAGCCCATTCGCTTCCGGCCTTCAAAACGCGGGTAAGGCGGTTTGGCATGGCATATTATTTTGTGCTGGGAACTAGACCAGCATAGTTAGCATTGGCAGCATCGGCAGCATCGGCACGGCAGCATTGCCAGAGCTATTATTAGCATTGGCAGCGTTATTATTAGCATTGGCAGCGTTATTATTCGCATTGGCAGCGTTATTATTAGCATCGGCAGCGTTATTATTAGCATTGGCAGCGTTATTATTAGCATTGGCAGCATTCCCACTGACTCTTCTTTTCCTTGCCCTGCTCCCTGGCAGGTTCCTCGAGACTGACTTCCTGGAGCAGCTGGTGACCCACGACGGCGACTTTGAGCCGCTGACTGATGGCTTTACATCTCACTGTGAATCTCATGGTTCCCCTCTTCTTCCCCTTGCCCTGCTCCCTGGCAGGTTCCTCGAGACCGACTTCCTGGAGCAGCTGGTGACCCACGACGGCGAATTTGAGCCGCTGACTGATGGCTTTACATCTCACTGTGAATCTCATGGTTCCCCTCTTCTTCCCCTTGCCCTGCTCCCTGGCAGGTTCCTCGAGACTGACTTCCTAGAGCAGCTGGTGACACAAGAGGACGAATTCGAGGTGCTGGCAGATGGGTGCAGAGCGGTGTGGGTGTGGCACAAGCACATGGAGGACCTCTCCTGGACCACGTACCCCGCGGATTGGAAGCCTGAGCAGAGCAACTACCGCATTCCCACGTATGACTGGGTGAAGAATGACACCAGTCACGAGGCTCGAGCTGGGCTGATCGGGAGGATTGCTCGCGTGGTGAATGTTACATTACCACCGAGTTTTGGGGAGATAAAAAGGGAGGAGGCTGTGCAGGAGGGACGGGTGGGGGTGGCGAATGGGCAGAAGGCAGTTTTGAGACGCAACATGGGAATAGCATCAAGGGGGGAGGGGAGGAACAAGATGCGTGGAGAACGGGAGGATGGAACAAAAATGGTTCAACAAGTAAGGAGAGGCAGGCAAACGCCAAGAAATTAATGCGCATGCTTTATTTATTGATCCATCATGAGTTATTTTCAAGTGTTAGGCATTTCAATTTGTAAATGATTAATGCATTTTAAAATAAAGCATGGGTCTGAGTCATTGAGGTTACCAGTGAGATTATCACAGTTTTCGCAATTTCAACAATAAATTGTAGTGGCTAAAAGTGTAGCTTTTCTAATCAGTTGAAGCGCTATTGACAGCCTCGATGTCTGTGATGAGATTCATTTGCAGCTCGTCTTTCGCTTCCATGCACCATTTTCATTCGCATCTCAACTCTCAGAAGTGTGACACGAAAATTTTGGTTCTGTGCGGTCTGGAGCGGTGAACCACCGTCAAGCACGGCTGAGTAGGGTAATCGGCGAATACGAGCGAGGATTGTATCATTCTAGCTTCCTTTGTCCCTCGGGAAGTGAGAGTTCTGGTCGTCTTCTCCTTCGCTCTCGCCAATCTCAGATTCGCACGCTTCCAGTATCTAACGTGCTTGTCTAATCACAGCTCTAGTCGTTTTTCGTTCCGTGAATTGTTCTCGCGACGCACTTTCAAGCGCGTTCCGTCCGAGATCTGGCTGTCCAACGGATCGATCTTTAAGTATATAGGTAGGTCGCTCAAATCTCCTTTTCGCGATCTGTCCGAATTGGATCGTATCCGTTTTGAGATGCTTTCCCGCTTATTTCACTTCTACGAGCAGGCGAGATTCGTTTACCCGCCATCGTTGTTTTCACAGATGCTGTGCGTACTGATGGGTCACGTACTAATGGGGTACTGATGGTGGGCTATACTGAATCTGTCGTCTTTTGTTTCTCTCCGTGTTTATCCCTTCCGTCGCTCCTTTCTATCGATCTAGATCGTTTGATTCAGACAGCAGCGAGCGCACATGGCGACAAACGGTTTAGAGATTGCCGGCGAGCGCATCACGGGTCAAGACGTTCGAACACAAAACGGTACGAGTCTGGTTACAGGAGGCTCATGACGTTATGCGTGTGGTTACAGGTCCCTAAGAAAGCACACGGAAGGACAGTAGGCCGTAACTTGGTTCGTAGATCTGAGTGAGGTGGAATTCTTGGATTCTCTTTTAACTCGTGCACGACTTTATCGTCATCTTCTTCGCATCGTTTGACGTCTTTTCGCGCTGTATTTCGCACACTTCGCGACATTCTCAGCAATGCCGCGTTGTGGTTGAAAGTCGTGGTCGAGGGTTCAGGGCTAGGTGTGCAGCGACGCGATCCTTGTGTTCGTGATTCTACGGTGCTGTTTATGGTGCGGCTTGATGATCAATCGAGTTGATTTTTGAGGCCCCTTAAAAATCAACTCAATGCATGCGGGGTTCAGGGCTAGGGGTGCAGCGACGCAATCCTTGTGTTCGTGATTCTACGGTGCTGTCTATGGCGGCTTGATGATCAATCGCGTCGCGAAAAATGAAGGAGTGGGTGCGGAGTGAGAAGGAAAGAGGGTCTGTACAAGGTGCAACCTGGTTACTTGGATGGAATTTTGAGGCGCCTCAAAAATCGTCGCGAAAAATGAAGGAGTGGGTGAGGAGTGAGAAGGAAAGAGGGTCTTTACAAGGTGCAACCTGGTTTTTGGGATGGAATTGCTCGCCCGAATGTTTTTGTACACTCTTCAGCCACGGTGTGCAGCAGATTCGTTGTCATATCCAAAAATGCAGCCAGAGCGTGCTACAGATTCCTTGTCATGTCTAAACATCATGCGCGGAATGCCTAACTTGTCAGCATTGTTCGAGGAGGTCACTGATTGATTCTTTCTGCTTTCTCCGTTCTCCGTTCCCCCATGCACGAAATGCGTCAATTCCCCGATCCGCAGTCACTGCGTGCATGGCGATAGCTAACATTGTCAAGAGCTCGCTGGGCCCTGTGGGACTGGATAAGGTGAGACTCCGCACATCACATGTAGGTCATTTAACATTACACACTCCTCCTGCGTTTTTTGGCCTATGCAGCAAATGCCTTTCTTTTCATCGTTACCACCCCGTTTACCCTCCAGAATGGTTTTCTGATATATGAGGAGGTTGCTCTCCTCTTGTCGTTTTCCTCCATTGACGATCGTCTCATCCTCCTGCTTCCATTCGCTCGTGGATATATGTCAGTGAGATTTCCGCTAAGGGCTGACTCGTTCCCCTCACATCCTTCTCCTCTCACGGTTCGTCCCGTCGTCCTCTCCCTGTCCACCTTTTCCCCGTTCGCATCCCTTGCCTCCAGATGTTGTTGGTGGACGACATATCACCATTACCAAATTCAGCCGAATTCTTGTCAATCCTTGTAATCTCGTCCATTGACCTCTCATCGGTTCCCAATCTGTATCCCCTCCGTCCCTTGCGTCCCCTGCATCCCGTGCCTGTCAGATGCTCGTGGACGACATTGGTGACATAACCATCGCCCACTTCAGCCGTATCCTTGTCAATCGTTCTCCTCCCGTCCCTTTCCCTTCCCACTCGCTTTCCCCCCTGCATCCCGTGCCTGTCAGATGCTGGTGGACGACATTGGTGACATCACCATCACAAACGACGGAGCTACAATTCTGAAGCAGCTGGAAGTGGAGCATCCTGCCGCCAAGGTAGTGTTTCTTTTAGCGTCGCATGCAAGGCACTGTGTTTCTCACTGCTTTTGGCTTTGAAAGTCCTCCCAAATTTCAGCAAAATTCCTCGAACAGTACTTTCTTGCTTCATCGAATCATCGCAGTACTCATCTTGCCTCCCTCCTCCTCCTCCTCCTCCTCCTCCTCCTCCTCCTCCTCCTCCTCCTCCTCCTCCTCCTCCTCCTCCTCCTCCTCCTCCTCCTCCTCCTCCTTCTCTAACGCCCTCCTTGCCTTGCTCGCTCTTTCCTCCTCTCCCGTTTGGCAGGTGCTGGTGGATCTGACGGTGCTGCAGGACAGGGAGGTGGGGGGCATGCGTAGAGGTGCCTCCAAGTATCCCTTACCCATCTGCTGCGTCCCTTCCACCCTTCCTCCCTCGCTGCTCCCCTCTCCCTGGCAGGTGCTGGTGGATCTGGCAGAGCTGCAGGACAGGGAGGTGGGAGACGGCACAACTTCAGTCGTCATCATTGCTGCCGAGCTGCTCAAGGTAAAGGCCTAGTTTTGAGTCGACTTAAAACAAGGTCTCCTTATGCGTGTTTGTTGCTGGGTGCTGGGTGCACTGTTCCATGCGATTTAGATCCGTAACAAGGAGGTGGGGGACGGCACCACATCAGTCGTCATCATCGCTGCCGAGCTGCTCAAGGTGCGTGTCGTCATGTGTGCGCGTTGCTGGGTGCTGGGTGTTCGGTAGTGCGAAACAGGTAGTTAACGTGAGGTGGGGGATGACACCATTTCTTTTTTCGGCCCCCTTCTTTTCCCTGCACTGAGCAGAGTACAGGCGAACTTACATGCATCATGAGACACATTCTGAGGCCCTCATAAGGCAATCACCCCTGTGCACTCCTCTTCTTTGCTCTTTCTTCGTCCGTGTGCTGTGCATGTGATCAGAGGGCAGACGACCTAGTGCGCAACCGCATCCACCCAACGTCCATCATCAGCGGATACCGAGTGAGTGGACCTCAGCCCCTCCACTCGTGTGTTTTTAATTTTACTAAAAGTATCGCCTTGTACTCTGGTGCTTGCATGCAGTTGCCCGTGCTGTACTGATGACAGCGTGTTGACTTAGATTTGAGATGACCTGCACATGATCTAGGCTGACCTCGAACATTAAACCCTGAACCCAAAACCGCAGCTTTCTAACCTTGAACCCCCTTTTTTTTCCTTCTAAACCCTGAATCCCAACAATCATCTCCTGGACCCGGAATCCGAACCTTTACCTCCTGAAACCCCAACCAAACCCAAAACCACTGCATCCTAAATTCTCCCTTTTCCACCCCAATCCTCCCTGGCGGGTCACTGCAGCTGGCGATGAGGGAGGCGTGCAAGTATGTGGACGGCAAGCTGGCAGTCAAGGTGAGAGAGAGTGGTGTTCGAGTTGAGGAATGGTGGGTCCCTTGATGCAGGGTGGTTTTCAGGGATACGGATGCTGATGTCTCAGGGGAGGCATCAAGTCACTGCAGCTGGCGATGAGGGAGGTGTGCAAAGGCGTGCAAAGGTATGCAAGTATGTGGATGGCAAGCTGGCATTGGATTGGAAGATGGCCAGTCAGCATGACCATCTTCCAGTCTTGTCGAGAGTCCAGCATGGCCGCATGTCTCTTCTCTATAGGCAAGGGGCTCCACTGAACGCAGTCAAGGCCAGCATGGCCGCCAGGGTTGGGGATTGTCGACTCGCGATGCTGGTCTGGTGCCTGTCCGGGTCTTCACCCCCGTCTCCTTCGTCCCTATTCCCCTCTGCTTGTTCCCATGCGCACAAGAGCAGGTGGAGAAGCTAGGCAAGGCGACGCTGCTGAACGCGGCCAAGACGAGCATGGCCTCAAAGATTGTTGACATGGACAGCGAGTTCTTTGGCAAGATGGTGGGTGCTGCTTGTATCGCATATATGCTTGTAGCAAGTATGTGCTTCATCAGATGTGCATCTGAATTGAGTCTGTTCATGTATTGAGGGTGTGCTTATTGAGGCTTCTTCTCTACATGTTTTTTTCTCTGTTTCAAGCTTTGAAAGGTTCTGCAGAGTCTCTATCTTTGGTTCCTCTCGTTTCTTTTTTCGTTCGCCTTCCTTCACAGGTTGTGGACGCGGTACAAGCGGTGAAGACCACGAATGAGAAGGGCGAAGTCAGATATCCCATCAAGGTGTGTACATCAATTAGACATGTGATGAAGTTCGAACATCAGTTGGGGCTGTCGCCCATATGTGGCAGCAAGTTTATGTGTAAACACTCAAAGTGCACGGCAAGAGTGCGAGGGACAGTGCGCTGATCAACGGTTATGCGCTCAACACCACGCGTGCAGCACAGGGCATGCCCCGCCGCGTGCGGCCCGCCTGCACGTCCTGTTCTGTTGTCTTCACAACCCTCCTCTCTTTTGCCCGCGTGCTCCTCTTTTGCCCCTCGTCTGCCCCTCTCTTGTTTCCCCTTCTCCGCTCTCTCGTGTGTCCCACACCCCGTCTCCATCTCAGGCCATCAACATTCTGAACCCCTAAACCCTGAAGCACACGGAAAGAGTGCGAAGGACAGTGCGCTGATCAACAACTATGCTCTCAACACCACACGCGCCGCCCAGGGCATGCCCGGCCGCGTGGGGCCCGCCCGCAGTCTGGCTCTCTCTTACCTCAACAACCCACCTCCCTTTTTCCCGCCTGCCCCTCTTCTGCGACTCTTCCGCTGCCCTTGTGCGCATCTTTGCCTCCACATCCACTCCTCCCTCCCTCCCAGGCCATCAACATTCTTAAAGCGCACGGCAAGAGTGCGAGGGACAGTGCGCTGATCAACGGTTATGCGCTCAACACCACGCGTGCAGCACAGGGCATGCCCCGCCGCGTGCGGCCCGCCTGCACGTCCTGTTCTGTTGTCTTCACAACCCTCCTCTCTTTTGCCCGCGTGCTCCTCTTTTGCCCCTCGTCTGCCCCTCTCTTGTTTCCCCTTCTCCGCTCTCTCGTGTGTCCCACACCCCGTCTCCATCTCAGGCCATCAACATTCTGAACCCCTAAACCCTGAAGCACACGGAAAGAGTGCGAAGGACAGTGCGCTGATCAACAACTATGCTCTCAACACCACACGCGCCGCCCAGGGCATGCCCGGCCGCGTGGGGCCCGCCCGCAGTCTGGCTCTCTCTTACCTCAACAACCCACCTCCCTTTTTCCCGCCTGCCCCTCTTCTGCGACTCTTCCGCTGCCCTTGTGCGCATCTTTGCCTCCACATCCACTCCTCCCTCCCTCCCAGGCCATCAACATTCTTAAAGCGCACGGCAAGAGTGCGAGGGACAGTGCGCTGATCAATGGCTATGCGCTCAACACCACGCGCGCCGCCCAGGGCATGCCCTGCCGTGTGGGGCCACCCTGTGGGGTCTTGCTTTGTTGTCTCCACAGCCCGCCTCCCATTCGTCCATCTGCCCCTCTTCTGTCCCTCTTCTGTCCATCTGCCGCTCGTCTGCTGCCCCTTCTCCGCTCTCTTGTCCATCCCTCACCCCCTCCCTCCATCCTCCTCCATCTCAGGCCATCAACATTCTCAAGGCACACGGCAAGAGCGCAAGGGACAGTGCGCTCATCAACGGCTACGCGCTCAACACCACGCGTGCAGCACAGGGCATGCCCCGCCGCGTGGGGCCTGCTCGCATTGCGTGCCTGGACTTCAATTTGCAGCGCACTCGCATGCAGATGGGCGTGCAGGTGCTGGTGACTGATCCGAAGGAGTTGGACAAAATCAGGGAAAGGTGTGTGGTGTATGTAGTGAATGCGTGACTTGGGGAAGGTGTGTATAGTAGAGAGGGTAGGAGGGCAAGGGAGGGGTGCATGGGGCCTGCTCGCATCGCGTGCCTGGACTTTAATCTGCAGCACACTCGCATGCAGATGGGCGTGTGCTGGTGGTGACTGACCCTAAAGAGCTGAACAAGATTAGAGAGAGGGCGTATTCAGTGATTGATTGAGTGATTGAGAGATCGATTGCGTGTGAGTGAGAAAGGGAGAGAGCGGCGATGCCGAGTGGGAAGTGGAGCTGGAGGGGAGGAGAGACATAGCACAGACAGGGAGGTCGCTCGATCTTCAGACATAATTCTCAGGGAGCTGCAGCAGTGGAGCTAGAATTATGTCTGAAGATACCTGGAGGGGAGGAGAGACATAGCACAGACAGGGAGGTCGCTTGCTGGTGGTTATGCTGGGGAAGTGGTTGTGGTGACAACGATGTGTTGCCGCAATGCTCTGTGTTCATTACGCGTGGCAGGCATCACAAAGGAGCCCATTCAAACGACGTGGAAGGCGGGGCCATGTGTATCGGTGCTGCTTACAACCGGTGCTTTTCTCTTCTGCTCTGTGCTTGTTCCTCTCAGGGAGTCGGACATCACGAAGGAGCGCATACAGAAGATGCTCAAGGCGGGCGCAAATGTCATTCTCACCACCAAGGGCATCGATGACATGTCGCTCAAGGTGAGCTGTTGTGCTGACGTGTCACTCAAGATGAGCTGTCATGATGACGTGGCGCTCAGGGTAAGCTGTTGTGATGACGTATCACTTGTCGCTCCCAGAGTGACAGCTGTCATATTGACCCTTTGTCCTGTGCGTCCGGGTCGCCTTGTGCTGCGTCCGGGTCCTTTGTTCCTTTGTCCCTTTGTGAGACTGCGTTTACCCCATGCTCCTTGCCATTCTTCTATTTTCCCCGCCCTGTCCCCCTCACTGCATGGCCCCACCCCCTTCACACCCGCCTGTCCTCCCCACGCCCTTTATCCCCCCCCTCCTATCACTTCCCCTCATCTACTAGTATTTCGTGGAGGCAGGAGCTATTGCAGTGCGGCGGGTGAAGAAGGACGATTTGAGGCACATCGCCAAGGCGTCTGGTGCCACCATGGTGAGAAGATGGGGGCGAAGGAGGGCAAGGGGTGCAAGGGGTGTGAGGTGGGCGTGTGAGTGGGCTTGGTGTGGGGGTGGTGGGCAAACTTCTGGGAGGCAGGCAGGAGTGATTGCAGTGCGGCGGTTGAAGAAGGGCGATTTGAGGCACATCGCCAAGGCGTCTGGTGCCACCATGGTGAGGCGAGGAGGGGCAAGGGTGGGAGGGGTGCATGTGTGTGGGCTTGGTGTTGGTGGGGCTTGGTGTTGGTGGGGCTTGGTGTTGGTGGGGCTTGGTGTTGGTGTGGCTGGAAACGTGGCTTCAAAGAGGCAGGTGGTGATAGGAAGGAAGGCGGGCTCCATTCTACACCACCTTCCAGGAGCCCGGCAGAACGACTTTCGGCAGAACTTCAAGGAAGACGAGCAGGAAGTCGTTCTGCTGGGGGCAGGGGGGTGTGCAGGCCCCGGCAGAACGATTTCCGTCTCGAGACGAACCAAAGAACTCGTCAAACTCTTTGGTTTGATGAGATTCGGGAAGAGCCTGTTGAACTTACATTGCACGGTTCGACCAGAACAGAGGCGAACTTTTTTCTCGCTCAACCTTAGTCGAACTGATTTGATCGAACCGAACTGAGGTTCGATGTGTTGCTCATGTCTGACGGGCGGGCTTTATTTTGCACCTCAGATGCTCTCACTTGTTGCGGTCATGGAGGGGTGGGTGACATTTAACGCATCCATTTTGGGGCAGGCAGCCGCGGAGTCTTATGAGGAGCAGGTGTTGTCTAACTATAGGGTTTTGTCTCACAGAAACACTTAATACCCTCCAATGTTTCCACTTCTTTACCCGCTCTCCTCTCAGATGCTCACATTTGCGGATATGGAAGGAGGAGAAACTTTTGATGCGTCCATGCTGGGGCAAGCAGAGGAGGTGTACGAGGAGCGGGTTGCGGATGACAACATCCTCATCTTCAAGGGCTTTAAGGCCGCCAAAGCGGTGAGTGGGCGGATCAGGGGCTGGGAAAGGAGGAGTTGTGGCTGCTGGCGCCAACAGCTGCATGCTGGGCGAGATGGGTCGCTCGCTGCATGGCGCCATCAAGCCATTGAACATTTCCCTGGCCTGTCCCTCAAAAGTCACTTAGTTCTGCGTGTGGTCCCTGTACCTTCCATCACAGGCCACACTGCTCCTTCGTGGTGCAAACGACTACATGCTCGACGAGATGGGTCACTCCCTCCCTTCACGATGCCATGTGAATTGTCAAGACTCCCACTGTCCCATCTCTCCCAGACTCCCACTGTCGCACTCTCCCAGCCTCCCACTCTCTCTCCGCGACCTGCATTCCATCACAGGCCACGCTGCTCCTCCAAGGCACCAACGACTACATGCTGGATGAGATGGATCGTTCCCTGCTCGACGCCATCTCCATTGTCAAGACTGGCACTGTCCCATCTCTCGCAGTTTCCACCCTCCCTTCCTTGACCTATCCTTACCACAGGCAACTCTCCTCCTCCGAGGAGCCAACGACTACATGTTGGACGAGATGGATCGCTCCCTGCACGACGCCATCTGTATTGTCAAGCGCACCCTCGAGTCCAATTCGGTTGTCGCAGGGGGGGGCGCTGTGGAGGCCCTGTGGCGGCAGCACCACCATATCTCCCCCTTTACCCCATTCTCCCCTCCTTTTCCTTCTATCCCTGCTTCCCCTTATCCCTGCTTCCCCTTATTCCTGCTTCCCCTTATCCCTGCTTCCCCTTATCCCTGCTTCCCCTTATCCCTGCTTCCCCTTATCCCTGCTTCCCCTTATCCCTGCTTCCCCTTATCCCTGCTTCCCCTTATCCCTGCTTCCCCTTATCCCTGCTTCCCCTTATCCCTGCTTCCCCTTATCCCTGCTTCCCCTTATCCCTGCTTCCCCTTATCCCTGCTTCCCCTTATCCCTGCTTCCCCTTATCCCTGCTTCCCCTTATCCCTGCTTCCCCTTATCCCTGCTTCCCCTTATCCCTGCTTCCCCTTATCCCTGCTTCCCCTTATCCCTGCTTCCCCTTATCTCTGCTTCCCCTTATCCCTGCTTCCCCTAATTCCTGCTTCCCCTTATCCCTGCTTCCCCTTATCCCCATGTCCCCCTTCCTCCCCTTCCATTTAGGCCACACTCCTCCTCCGAGGAGCCAACGACTACATGTTGGACGAGATGGATCGCTCCCTCCACGATGCCATCTGCATTGTCAAGCGCACACTCGAGTCCAACTCCGTGGTTGCTGGAGGAGGCGCCGTGGAGGCGGCGCTGTCAGTGCACCTGGAGAACCTCGCCACAACTCTTGGGTCCCGGGAGCAGCTGGCTATAGCCGAGTTTGCAGAAGCTCTCCTCGTCATTCCCAAGGTGCGCCTAAGTTATGCCGTGCAATGCTGTGTGGTCGTGGGGGAGGGGGGGCGCTGTGGAGGCGGCCCTGTCGGCGCACCTCGAGAACCTTGGTACTACTCTTGGTCCGGGAGCAGCTGGCTATAGCTGAGTTTGCAGAGGCGCTGCTCGTCATTCCCAAGGTAACCACCTCCGTGAAGCACCTCCTCACTCTTAACATACGCTGAGTGCTGCTGCTCGGTTCAATGCGGTCCTGTGTGTGATGGGGGGAAGGCGCCGTGGAAGCAGCCCTGTCAGTGCACCTGGAGAACCTCGCCACAACTCTTGGTTCCCGGGAGCAGCTCGCTATTGCCGAGTTTGCTAAAGCTCTGCTCGTCATTCCCAGGGTACGTGTGCCCTTAGGTGTACCCTGTTCAACGCTGTGCTATGGCGGGAGGAGGCGCTGTGGTAGGGTGTGGCGCTGTGGGGGAGGCCCTGTGTGTCAGTGCACCTGGAGAACCTCGCCACAACTCTTGGGTGGCGGGAGCAGCTGGCCATTGCCGAGTTCGCTGAAGCTCTGCTCGTCATTCCCAAGGTTAGAAGGTCCTACCTAACTCGGTACTAGCAAGGGGAGGGGGAGGGGGGGGGGGGGGGGGGGGCGTGGAGGCTGCCCTGTCAGTGCACCTCGAGAGCCTCGCCACGACTCTTGGGTCCCGGGAACAGCTCGCTATTGCCGAGTTTGCAGAGGCTCTGCTCGTCATTCCCAAGGTGCCTGGAAGAGTGGTTACCACCTCCGTGTTTGAAGAAGTGTTTTGAGACGTCTCAAAACACCTCCGTGAATCGCCACCTCACTCTTAACAGGCACTCAGTGCTGTCGCTTGGTTCAAATCGGTGGTTGCATGGGAGGCGCTGTGGAGGCAACCCTTTCAGTGCACCTTGGGAACCTCAGTGCCTCAGTGCTCTGTCCTCGAGCTCCTTCCCTCCACCTGAGACGATTTTTTAGGCGCCTCAAAAATCTTTTTTTGAGGCGCCTAAAAAAAAATGCACCTTGGGAACCTTAGTGCCTCAGTGCTCTATCGTCGAGCTCCTTCCCTCCACCTGTTGCTCCCTATGCTGCCCTTCTCCCCCTCAGGTGCTCGCGGTGAATGCGGCCAAGGACGCCACGGACCTGGTAGCCAAGCTGAGGGCGTACCATCACATGTCTCAGACAAAAGGCGACAAGCAGCACTTGGCAGAGTGAGTTTGGGGGTTGGGATTGAGTTGAACGAAATGTTTGTGAGATGAATCAAACCAGAAGAGACCTGGTAGCTAAGCTGAGGGCGTACCACCACATGTCGCGGACTAGCAGCGACAAGAAGCACTTGGCAGAGTGAGTTTGGGGCTGAGTTATGTTGGATTGAGTGGAACCAAGAATCACCAAGGCGTTGTATCAATGATTCTTGGCATTTGGTTCTCTAGCAAGGTGCCACCACCACCACACAGCAAGGTGGCATGTAGCGCCTTGTGTACGTGCCGCTACAATGCACACCTCAGGCACGTAGCAATAAGCAGCATATGGGCGAATGAGCTTGCGCATGGGCGAGCGAGTCAATACAGGGGCCATCACGAGTGCTTGTTACGACGTACCATGGCAGTAGTATACATCTTTTGACCCCTCTCCCCCTTTGCCTCTTGGTCCCCTCCTCATCTTTGCCCCTTTCCTCGTGTCTCCTTGTAAAGAATTCGAGAACGGTGCGTTGAGGAACAATTTGTGAGGCGCCTCAACAGTGATTCAACATCTATTATCTCTTCTCCTCCTCCACGCCCCGTCCCCCGTGGTCTCCCTGTGAGGCAGGTATGATTCTGGCCTGGTGAACGGCACTTTGAGGAACAGCGTAGAGGCAGGCGTGTTGGAGCCTGCAATGAGTTTCAAGACGTCTCCTTGCCCGCCACCTCCTTGTCCGCCACCTCCTTGTCCCCCACCTCCTTGTCCGCCACCTCCTTGTCCCCCACCTCCTTGTCCGCCACCTCCTTGTCCGCCACCTCCTTGCCCGCCACCTCCTTGCCCGCCACCTCCTTGCCCGCCACCTCCTTGTCCGCCACCTCCTTGTCCGCCACCTCCTTGCCCGCCACCTCCTTGCCCCCCACCTCCTTGCCCCCTTCCCCTTGTCCACTGTGAGGCAGCTACGGCTCGGACCTATTGAACGGTGTGTTGAGGAACAAGTTTGGGACGTCTCAGAATTAGTTCACCATCTCTTTCTTCTTCTCCACTCTCCCTCCCCCTTGTCTCCTATGAGACAGGTACGGCTTCGATCTGTTGAACGGTGTGTTGAGGAACAAGTTTGAGACATCTCAGAATTAGTCAAACGTCTATTATTTCTCCTCCTCCTTCCCCCTTTCCTTCGAGCCAGGTACGGTTTAGATCTGGTGAATGGTGTGTTGAGGAACAATGTGGAGGCAGGCGTGCTGGAGCCAGCAATGAGCAAAACCAAGATCCTGCAGGTAGGTTGGCTGTTTTGGCTGCTGCTGCATTCTTTTGCCCGCTGCATTCTTTTGTCCGCAGCGACAACTGCTGGTAATCATCTGGTGCAGACTGATCTGGAACAGTGCGGTACGGTTCGGACCTGCGATGAAAATTCTGCAGGTGAAGGTTTGTCTGAGTGTTGGGGCTAGTCTTGTCCATTGCAGTGCAAGTAAAACTCTCCAACAACGTCCACAGTTGCAAGGTCCTCCAGTCACTTAGGTGCAGCATCCGCTGGGATTTTTTTACCATGCATTCACCTCCGCAGCGCATGAGACGTTGTTACGGTTCCCTGCTTAGTAAGATGGGACGAGTTTTGAGGCGCCGCAAGACTGCTACCTTACATTCCCTCGACATGCATGATCATTGCTTAGTGATTCTGCTCCATTCCCCCCTGCATGTTCGCTGTGTCCTCTTCCTCTCTCTCTCTCGCTGCAGTTCGCCACTGAAGCCGCCATCACCATCTTGAGGATCGACGACATGATCCGGCTGGCCAAGGCCCAAGACGGGCCTGAGGAGTAGTCAGCTCGTTACCACATGTGGTGCTTCGCCTGTGCACCTGTGTGCGGCACATAGAATGTTACTTGGAGCATGAAATATATGTACGTACCATTTCCTTGCTGGATGGGCTGTTGCTCGTGGATTGCAGAAGGCATGCCTGCTTCATCTGTGTATGCCCTTCAAAATAGTAGTACTGGAATGTGCGGTTTACGTGGGAGTTTGGGTCCAGCAGAGTTCACATGCCATCCCATGTCCAGCCGTTTTGGAGCCATGAGTTCGAAACATGTTGACTGATGACATCGCCCATTAGCACAGGTTTGACTCTGAACCCGCCGAGGATATCCACATGATTTTTTTTTTTAGGAGCCATAAAAGGAATTGGTATAGTTTATGTTACACCGCTGTACAGGTGAGCACAACTATGAACACCAAAATTCACTTGAAGCAATCGGTATTGCTTTTACCGCAGGTGTTTGCAGCCATGGAAACCGCGTAAATAAGACAACTGTTATGAAATGCGTATCGCGGTCCGCGTTTGCGTGGACAAATGGCAAATGGCTTCGACTTCCCCTCGCCGAAATTTACGGCAAGCAGCAACATGTGTGCTGTGCTCTGGGTTTGCCTCCCCCGCCCTAGTTTCCCGCCCTAGGCCATCAATCCATCCCTATCTGATCTTGAACCTACACAGGCTCTCCTCACAGAAGTGCGCGCGTGCCACATCCACTCATCTGGTTGTCCTTTTGAAAACGAGGGCAGGCGGGTGGCAGCCGCATTAGCCCGTCCGATCCGTGATGGAGACACACCGCATCCTAACGCCCTCCATTGATTTTGCACCCCTTATTCACGTACAAGACCGTAGAGAAAACACAGGGGTCAAGTTCAGGGAAACAACGGAGCAAGGGGAGGGAGAGACAAGCGAGGCTCCAGAGATTAGCCCAGTGACCCAGTGGGCCACCAAACAAGAAGCAAGACATCAGATCAACCGCCATCAGCCACGATACACCAAATATTCACGAAGGTTTTCCGTATTTTGCCAGTTGTCTGTCTTGATTTCTGTCGAATGACTGACGCTACAGAAATGTAATGACTGAGAAGATTTTGAATTCCTTTCCTGTCGTCCACTTGATGTGCAGGAAATTTGAAATGTATGTGCAAAATGGAGATCTTAATACGAAATGACTCAACCGCGCATCAAGTGTAGGACACGGCTGGCTGAAAAGTGCCTCGGATAGCACCCCACGAAGCACTGAAAACACGCTTTGAGAAAATGACACGATGAGCCCCCAGCTCAAGTCGGCTCCGTCAGCGTTTTCAAACGTTGTAGAAACAAGAGCGCATTACGGCGCCTTTCCCGCTCGTGTGGAGTGGTCCACCTGCGAGCTGCATTCTTGCTTCGTTGCTTCAGTCATAATTGATTGAAGCCATATTTATAGCTTCTCTCTTGTAGCTGTCGGAAGCTGCGTTGAAAAGCACCTGGGTCAGTGCAGCTGCGGGTCGCGTATCTAAGTCACCACAGAAACTACGTACCTATTTTTTAGGTTCTTAGCGAGTCGAGTTAGCAGCCTGCTGGTTGCATCAGACCTAAGGTTTCGACCAAGGTTCCTCACGAAGCGTCGTCGACTCAAACGTCATTCAAGACAGTGAATCGTCATAATAAGCGCAGCAGCTCCCATCTACGGCGATGTCTTCTAGGGTACAACTGCTTCCGTGATTCAGTTTTGCCATTTGCTTTGTAAATTGCGATACTTTTACGCAATGCTGTGTCTTGACGGCAATGCCGTTTATTGCGAGATAGGAAATGCGATTTTTTTTTTTTTTTTTTTTTTTAGTATGTGAAATAGTAACACGTTTCGGGTTTTTACTAGATGAAATAGCTCGATTCATTATTCCGCTACGTTACGCTCGCAGCAGTGTTACATTTCCAATTTCGTCGGACGTGATTCTTTTATTTTCGCCGCATCGCGTCCCGTGTCTCAGGGAGGCCTTCGGGCGTGTCGAGTGACAGTAAAGGTGGTGGCTATAAAGGACGTGGGGTCGCTGAGCAACCCCGTGGTTCAAGTCGCCGTGGAAGACAGCTACTTTCGAACTTCAGACGTACGTAGTAACGCCACGCGCCGCTCTTCTCGCGCCGCATCGCACGTTTCAGCGATAAAAAATATCCGTTTCGCTGCATTATACAGTTATTTCCATTGTCCGATATTTCAGGAAAAAAGAGGGGTATTTTTCAAGAGTTTAAAAAGTTAATATTCTGGTCGAAGTGTCTTTACTTTTTCCGCACTTGGTTGTCCTTATCAACGCCCTGGGCAGCGTCTGCTTTCGGTTCGCGTTATCAGCACTCGCAAATCGATTGTATAAGCGTTGTCATTGCTTTATCGGTTGGTGAATTCAGGTGCAGGAGAAGACAGATGAGGGTTTGATCACATTCGACCAAGGCCACTCGTTCGACGTCAAGGATGAAAAGGTAACGTTTTCCGTTCCGTTTACGCATCACTCTTTCGTCTCATCTCGTTGACGCTTTCGCTCACTCTTTCGTTCACTTGTCGCTCTTCCCTCCTTCCCTTCCTCGGTTCCTCCCCTCCACCACCCATTCTCTCCGTCTCCCTCCTTTCCCCCTCCCTTTCCTATCCATCTCTTCTCTCCCCTTTCATTCTCCCTCCTCTCCTCCCCCCGCGCGCATCTCCCCGTCTCCGTCCCCCATTCGTCCCCTCAGTCCATTCCGCCTCGCCCATTTTCCCCTTGGCTTCCCCTCCCATTTTGTACCTTTCCCCCCTCCATCCCCCATCCATTCTTCCCCCACCACCACCCCCCGCCTCCCCCCTCTCTCTCCCCCCTCTTCTCTTCCCTCCCTCCTTCCCCCCCGCGCTCATCGCTCCCCCCCTGTTTGTATGCGCGCAGTCGGCGGAGGTGCGCGTGGCGGTGGCGGGGAAGACGGCCGTGGGCATGCGCAAGGTGCTGGTCTATATTCCTCTCATCCCCCCCTCCCCCACCCCTACCCCGGTCCTCTACCGCACCTACCCTCCCGGGCGCACACTGCTGGCCCCCCTCCCCTCTTCTGCAAACCGCTTCCCCCTTGTGTCTCCCCAGACGGCGGAGGTGCGCGTGGCGGTGGCAGGGAAGACATCCATGGGCATGCGCAAGGTGCTGGGGTCCATTCCTCTCATCCCCCCCTCCCACTCCTACCTCCGCCCTCTTTCTTTCCCACCCTCCTCCCGCCCTCCCCGCCCCCTGTATGCGCGCAGTCGGCGGAGGTGCGCGTGGCGGTGGCGGGGAAGACATCCATGGGCATGCGCAAGGTGTTGGGGTCTATCAAGCCGCTGCACGTCTCTGACCTGCTCGAAACGGACCCTGGTGAGTGAGTGAGTGAGTGAGTGAGAGAGGGAGAGAGTGAGAGAGGGAGAGAGTGAGTGGGAGACGAGACAAGGCGTCAATGGAGATTCGCAAGGTGCGGGGGTCCATCAAGGCGCTATGCGTGGCGGAGCTACTGGAAACCAACCCGAAGGTATGTGAAAGGGGGAGCATGCAGCACTGTGGGTGGGCAGGCGGGCAGGCGGGCAGGCGGGCAGGTGGGCGTGCGGGCGTGGGGGGGCCGTGTGGGCAGTCGCCAAAGTGCGGGGTCCCATCAAGGCGCTGGGCGTGGCGGAGCTACTGGAAACTGACCCTGACGAGTGAGAGAATGAGTGTGTGCGGTAGAGAGTGAGTGAGCGAGTGAAAGAGTGAGTGAGAGAGTGACTGAGGCGGAAGGAGTGAGAGTGAGTGAGTGCGTGGATGAGTGTGTGTGTGAGTGAGGAAGTGAGTGAGATTGAGTGAGGGTGTGAGTTCGGCTGAGTGCTCATGAGGGGATGGAAAGGGAAAGGAGGGTAGTGGTGTCAACAACGAGATAGGGGGAGGGGTCCCCTGCTAAGGAGGGGAAGTTCTCTGGTCCCTTTCAACGTTTCTAACTTCTCTCCCTCTCTCTCCCCCTAATCTGGTTCTCCTTTTCGCCCCTCTTTCCTCTCTGCAGACCGCACACTGGAGCCTGAGTGGTACGAGGTCGTGGCCAAGGAGGGCAAGAAGTCATCTGTAGGGAAGGTGAGAGCGGAAAGGCGAGGGAGGTAAGGGAGTGGGAGAAGGAGTTTAAAGGGGATGGAGATATGTAGATGAGGGGTTGAAGGGGGAATAGCAGCACGAAGGCTGCTAGGGAAAGTCAGAGGGAGAGGGAGAGGGAGAGGAAGAGGGAGAGGAAGAGGGAGAGGGAGAATGAAGACATAAGGGTGAAAGGTGGGGGGAAGCAGAAGGTGTGTAGGTAGGTACGACGAGAGGGAGGGAGCATGTCAAGGTCTTACTTTGATTGATTTTGAGTGAACTTAGGAAAGGGAGAGGGAGGGAGAGAGGGGGGAGGGAGTAGATGAAAGTTAGTGGGTAAGAGGGATCACATCAGGGTCCCACTATACTGCGCCAAGAGCTTGCACGCATGTTCTCTCTCAGGGCTCAACAACCATCTTAGTTCCCCCCCCACCCTTTTCCCCCGCCTGCCTCCCGCCATGGCCAATACTTCCCTCAAGAGCAGCTGTTTTGAGTCGGTCGACTAAAGCATTCCCCCCCCCTCCCCCCCCCTTCCCAACCTCCTTGCCCCCCTCCTGCAGGTGCTGCTGCACGTGGTGGCAGCACGGGCGCCGCCACAGCAGCCCATCAACCTTGCAACCTGAGGCGTGAACAATCATATTCTGCAAGCTCCCCCAACACCCTTCCCCCTCCTACCCCTTCCTTCTTCCCTGCCCCCGCTGCCTACCCTCCTGCCCTGTAACCCCCCAGGTGCTGCTGCACGTGGTGGCAGCGCGGGCGCCGCCACAGCAGCCCATAAAGCTGTTCATTGGGTCGTGGAATGTGGGCAATGCACCGCCGGTAAGGACCCCCCTCTCATGTGTGTGCATGTGCATGTGCATGTGCATGTGTATGTGCATGTGCATGTGACTTTTGAGTCGACTCAAAAGTCACCTCGTGGGCAATGCACCGCCGGTAAGGACCCCACTCTCATGTGTGTGCATCTGCATGTGCATGTGATGTGATGTGACTGTGTGCATGTGCATGTATGTGTCCACGTGCATGTGTGTGTGCATGTGTGTGTGCATGTGTGTGTGCATGTGTGTGTGCATGTGTGTGTGCGTGACTGCATCTCACATGCGTGCATACATGCGCATCCGTGTGCTGTGCGCACATGCCATGCCCCACGCCCCACGCCCCACGCCCCACGCCCCACGCCCCACGCCCCACGCCCCACGCCCCACGCCCCATGCCCCACGCCCCATGCCCCATACCCCACGCCCCATGCCCCATACAGCCTGACGATCTCTCCCCCTGGCTTCCTAAGGGCACGGACCACGAGCTAATTGCCATCGGCTCGCAGGTCAGTCTCCCATCCCCCATCTAGGTTAGACCCTCACCTCAACGACCAACAACAACCAGCTCCGCGAATTTTCAGTAGCCTGCCTGGCCCATCTCTCCCCCCCTGGCTCCCCAAGTGTGATGAGTCGATTTTTGAGTCCACTAAAAAAAAAATAGTAGCCTGCCTGCCTGGCCCATCTCTCCCCCCCTGGCTCCCCAAGTGTGATGAGTCGATTTTTGAGTCCACTAAAAAAAAAATAGTAGCCTGCCTGCCTGGCCCATCTCTCCCCCCCTGGCTCCCCAAGGCCACGGACACAGGAGCTCATTGCCATCGGCTCGCGCAGGTCAATAACTCCTGTTTTCATCCCAGAATAACACAGACTTACAAAGGAATGAAGAAGGAATAAAAAAAGAGACACCTCAATGTGGGGATTCTCTCCCTTCCCTGCCTGCCTCCCTACGCTGCAGATTGTTTTTTTAGAATTCTTCAGATTGTTTTTGAGAATTCTTCAGATTGTTTTTTAGATTTTTCAAAAACATTTTGCAGCATAAAGGAATAAGGAAAGAGACATTTCAATGTGGGCATTCTCTCCCTTCCCTGCCCGCCTCCCTACGGGCTCGGACCATATGCTCGTCTCGTCTCGTCTCGTCACCATTGGCTTTTGAAGCAACTGATACTTAGAGTACCGAGACGCGAGACCCCTCAAATCGTAACCGCTCGTGGGCTTTCTAAGCGCACGAACCATATTCTGCTGCATGCATTCGCGTCGACTGCTTGCTGCTTGCTGCTTGCCGTTCTTCCATTCGCTCTCATGCATCAAGTCATTCCCCACCTTGTTCTGCTCTCTTCACTCTACCCAAGTCCTCATTTTGCTGCTTGGCTTGGCTCTGGCCTTGCCTGGCGGTGCTTTGACATATGTCCCCTCTCACTTCCCAATGAGGAATGCGAGTATCAGAGGTGACTTATGGCTTGACTCACGAGCCTCCTGCCGTATTTCCCCCCTCCCCCTCCAACCAGGAGTGTGAGTATCAGCCGCGCTCCGGCTACGCCACCTGCATGGAGGACTGGGTCGCTGCTATAAAGTAAGGGCCGGTCCCGATATGAGTTACATGTCAGTTGTGCTGTAATACCGTGTCAGATGCTGATGCATGCCGTTTCCTCTTTCGTGTAGCTACCTGGGGCAGCCTACCCCTTATTGACCAATCTCTCGTTTCATCAATCACTTTCTACCCTCGTTTCTCGCTCCACTCATGTTCTCGTGCTCACTTCTTATCTCACACGCCCCGTTTCCCACTCCCTCGTTTTCTTATGCACACTCCATTTTCTCACGCTCTCTCCTTTCGTCGCCCACTCGCCGCTGCTCACGCCCTCGTTGCCCTGCCTGCAGAGCGCACTTCGCCCCGCACTACAAGGTGGTCAAGGGCACAACACGTGGCCAGATGCGACTCGTGGTGCTGGTCCTGGAAACGTCACAGGTGCGATCATTACTGATGGTGCGGTGCCGTCCTGGTGCTGGCGCTGATGCCGCCACCGCCGCCGCCGCCGCCGCCGCCGCCGCCGCCGCTGCTGCTGCTGCTGCTGCTGCTGCTGGCACTGCTTGCACTGCTGCTGCTGCCGCCGCCGCTGCCACCGCCGCTGCCACCGACGCTGTTGCTACTGCTGTCGGGCCCGGCTCGAACCTTGCTCGTGCTCACCTTCTTTTACCTTGCTCGTGCTCACCTTCTTTCACCTTGCTCGTGCTCACCTTCTTTCATCTTGCTCGTGCTCACCTTCTTTCACCTTGCTCGTGCTCACCTTCTTTCACCTTGCTCGTGCTCACCTTCTTTCACCTTGCTCGTGCTCACCTTCTTTCACCTTGCTCGTGCTCACCTTCTTTCACCTTGCTCGTGCTCACCTTCTTTCACCTTGCTCGTGCTCACCTTCTTTCACCTTGCTCGTGCTCACCTTCTTTCACCTTGCTCGTGCTCACCTTCTTTCACCTTGCTCGTGCTCACCTTCTTTCACCTTGCTCGTGCTCACCTTCTTTCACCTTGCTCGTGCTCACCTTCTTTCACCTTGCTCGTGCTCACCTTCTTTCACCTTGCTCGTGCTCACCTTCTTTCACCTTGCTCGTGCTCACCTTCTTTCACCTTGCTCGTGCTCACCTTCTTTCACCTTGCTCGTGCTCACCTTCTTTCACCTTGCTCGTGCTCACCTTCTTTTACCTTGCTCGTGCTCACCTTCTTTCACCTTGCTCGTGCTCACCTTCTTTCATCTTGCTCGTGCTCACCTTCTTTCACCTTGCTCGTGCTCACCTTCTTTCACCTTGCTCGTGCTCACCTTCTTTCACCTTGCTCGTGCTCACCTTCTTTCACCTTGCTCGTGCTCACCTTCTTTCACCTTGCTCGTGCTCACCTTCTTTCACCTTGCTCGTGCTCACCTTCTTTCACCGCCCTCGTGCTCACCTTCTTTCACCTTGCTCGTGCTCACCTTCTTTCACCTTGCTCGTGCTCACCTTCTTTCACCTTGCTCGTGCTCACCTTCTTTCACCTTGCTCGTGCTCACCTTCTTTCACCTTGCTCGTGCTCACCTTCTTTCACCTTGCTCGTGCTCACCTTCTTTCACCTTGCTCGTGCTCACCTTCTTTCACCTTGCTCGTGCTCACCTTCTTTCACCTTGCTCGTGCTCACCTTCTTTCACCTTGCTCGTGCTCACCTTCTTTCACCTTGCTCGTGCTCACCTTCTTTCACCTTGCTCGTGCTCACCTTCTTTCACCTTGCTCGTGCTCACCTTCTTTCACCTTGCTCGTGCTCACCTTCTTTCACCTTGCTCGTGCTCACCTTCTTTCACCTTGCTCGTGCTCACCTTCTTTCACCTTGCTCGTGCTCACCTTCTTTCACCTTGCTCGTGCTCACCTTCTTTCACCTTGCTCGTGCTCACCTTCTTTCACCTTGCTCGTGCTCACCTTCTTTCACCTTGCTCGTGCTCACCTTCTTTCACCTTGCTCGTGCTCACCTTCTTTCACCGCCCTGAACTTTGCCCCTACCGCTTCGTGTGATAAGTCGATTTTTGAGTCGACTAAAAAATCGACTTATCATACACTTTGCCCCCACTGCTTCACTTCTCACCCCACTATCTCCCTCTCTCTTCTCCTTGTGCCGCCTGTATGGGCACCAGAGAGCCACCACTGTTGTGTTAGCCACAAGCGAGGTGGCGTTTGAGCGACTTCAAAGTCACCTTGTGTGGGCAGCAGAGCCACCACTGACTGACGTGTTGGCACAAGCAAGCCACAACCTCTCCCTTCTCCCTCTCCCTTCAGGTGACTTTTGAGTCGACTCAAATGTGGGCAGCAGCAGAGCCAAAACCTCTTCTTTCTCCCTCTCCTTCATCTCTCTCATTCCCATCCGCTCCCAACCCTCTTCTTCCCCTCCCCCCCATGTGTGCCACAGAAAGCCATCACTGATGTTACAGCCACAAGCGAGGCTACTGGTATTGGCCATGTGATTGCCAACAAGGGAGCTGTCAGCGTCTCACTCAAGGTACGCTCTCTAAGACCGCTCAAACGCCCCTCCCTTAAGGCGTCTCAAACTCCCCTCCCGTAACGTATGCTCCTCCCTCCTTCCCACGCTTCTCCCTGACTCCCCTCAAACATATTCGATCTCTGTTCGTCCGCCTTCCTTCCTTCCTGTTCATGATCCATCTAGTCTCCCTTTTCCCCTCGTCCCAGGCCCCTCTGTCACCATCAACTCTAGGACACGACACCTCTCCTTCTGCTTCGTAGACTCACATTGGCAGCACACGAGTCCCTCCTCCTCTCTTCTTTCCACCGTGCCTCACACTTCCCGGCCTCCCCAATCACTCCGTCTCCCCTCGTTCCGGGCCCCTCCCTCCGTGCTTCACCATTCAGTTCTGGGACACGTCCTTCTGCTTCGTCAATTCACACCTGGCAGGGCAGAGCTGCACAAGATTCACTCTCATCTCCCTTCTCCCCTCCTCCCGGGCTGCCTTCTCTGCGACCATCAGTTCTGGGACACGTCCTTCTGCTTCATCAACTCACACCTGGCAGCACACGAGGGGCACTGTACGACTCGCAACGACAACTATCGGGGTGAGAAAATGAGGGGTTTCATATAATTTTATATGTACATATATGTTATATATATATAAAAGTATAGGTATATATCTCGTGTGTGTGTGTGTGTGTGTGTGTGTGTGTGAGTGTGTGTGTGTGTGTGTGTGTGTGTGTGTGAGTGTGTGTGTGTCCGTGTGCCTGTGTGCCAATGTGTCTGTGTGTGTATATATGTTATGCATTACAACATGCCAGTAGTTCCACCACGTCCTGTGGATAAGCGATCTCAAAAACAAGAATTTCTGCAGGGATTGGTTTTGCTACAGGTCATGGGAAAGCATCTCCCATCATCTCTCACTCTCACCCTCACTCATGCTTCCTACTTCTCTCCCACCCCCCCCCACCACCAGAGGTCATGCGCAACATGCACCCCGGCCTCGCCAGCATCGACCTCCTCTCGCAATTCCACCATGTCTTTTGGATGGGAGATCTCAACTACCAACCCACCGCCTCGCCTTCCCAGAAACTTCCCTCCCGGGCCTAGGAGGGGCCGGGGACGGCGACGACGACAGCTCCGGGGACGAGGACAGCAGCGACGGCAACGGGCTCGTGAATGGGAACGGGGATGGGGTGCGGCGGTTGCCAGCAGCGGGAGTGGGAGTGGGAGTGGGAGCAAGAGCGGGAGAGCAGCGATGATGCAGCGGGCGATAACGATGAGTGGGAGCGGGGGAGGGTCGTCACGGAGTGCCGGGTCGAGGAGGCTGAATGAGTCGGATAGGAAGCTCATGTCCATGGGGGGCAGCAGCAAGGAGAAGAAGGAGGCGGTCAAAGCAGTGTGAGTGGCATTGGGGTGCGTGTGTGTGGGCTTGGAGAGTGGGTGTGGGTGTGCACTGGCATCCTCCCCCTCCCCCCCCCTTCCCTTTTCCCTCTTCCTTCTTCCCTCTTTCCTCTCCTTTTCTTTCCTCTTCCCTCTTCCCTCTCCTTCCCTCCCTCACATGGCGCTGCATTGCAGCATACTGGTCGCCCATCCCTCCACTCCACGCCATTTCTTCCATTTCCCTTCTCTCCCTTCTCCACTCCCCCCCTTCCCCACCCTCCCAGGCGCATGGCACTGCATCGCAGCATACTGGAGAAAATAGATCAGCGCAACTTCGCAGAGCTGCTGCAGCATGATGAGGTGAGTGTGAGTGTGACTCTTGAGGTGAGTGTGTGACTCTTGAGGTGAGAGAACCCAAGTATGAGGGTGCGCCGATTTTTGAGTCGACTAAAAAATCGACTCATCACATGATGAGGTGAGAACCCAAGTATGAGGGTGCGCCTCCTCTGCCCTTGGGAATTCTCAAAGCGTGCTCCTCTGCCAGTTTCTTGCGTCTACGGTAGGGGTTCAGAGTTTCTTTCGCGTTCGGCTATAGGGTGTAAGGTTCTGAATCACATGGGAGAAGGTTTTTGTTTTTTGTTTTTTTTGTTTTGTTTTGTTTTTTTTTTAGCCTCGCTCTTCCCTTCCTTCCGATCTTTTGACCTTTTCTTCCTTCTGTGTGCAAAGTTGGAATTCCTATTCCTCCTTGCGCTCCCTGCTCTCAACTTTAAATTAACCGCTTTGAAAAGACCGTTCAGTAAGGCTCCTCCCTCACTCCTCCCGGCCTCTTCACCCAGTCCTTCTTGCTTGCATTGCATGCCATCAGCATCAACAGGGGATCAGCTTGTTAGTCGACTCAAGGGTCTCATCTTCCTCCCACCCCCCTCACCCAACCATTGTTGCTTTGCTCGTATCCAGGGTTTCGGGTTAAGGGTTTAGGGTTTCGGATTTAGAGTTTTTGTTTAGATCTGCGAAGCACCCATCGACTTTCAAGTCAATTCAAAAGCATTTTCCCTTATTCCTCCCCCACCCTCGCCCCCTCGCCCGCTCCTTGTTGCTTGCTGTTGCTCATAATCCCATCAGCTTCAAAGGGAGATCCGGGAAGGCCGGTCGTTCTACAAGTTCTGCGAAGCACCCATCGACTTTGCTCCCACATTCAAAGTGAGTCACCCGGGCCCCTCTTTTCTGCCACCTTTTGAGGCGCCTCAAAAGTCGTCTCTTATCCCGCAATTTTTTATGTGCCTCAGAAGGCTCCCTCTTTTCTGCCCCCTTTAGCCCATGGCATCAAGCCGGGTCGCTCTTTTCCTTCCTGCCTGCTTCCCTTATTCACGCACGCACGCACACACACACTCTCTCACACACGCACACGCACACGCACACGCACATGCACACGCACACGCACACGCACACACACACACACACGCACACGCACACGCACACGCACATGCACACGCACACACACACACACACACGCACACGCACACGCACGCACGCGCGCGCACACGCACGCACGCGCGCGCACACGCACACACACACACACACACACACTCACACACACACACTCGTATTATGCACTCTATGTGCCTCAATGTCACCCCCACTCTCTCTCTCTCTCTCTCCTCATCCCCCCCACCCACCCCCTCCAGGTCCTAAGGGACGAGCTGCAGCAGTACAATCCCAAGCGCCTGCCTGCTTCCTCTGCTCACACTTGGTGACTGCGTAAATACAGGCGAACAAGTTACATCCTTCTCCGCCTCCCCCCCTCAGGTCGTAAGGGACGAGCTGCAGCAGTACAATCCCAAGCGCCTGCCTGCTTCCTCTGCTCACACTTGGTGACTGCGTAAATACAGGCGAACAAGTAACATCCTTCTCCGCCTCCCCCCCGCAGGTCCTAAGGGACGAGCTGCAGCAGTACAACCCCAAGCGCCTGCCTGCATGGTGTGACAGAGTGCTCTGGCGCTCCCTGCCCGGCTGCCATCTCACCTGCACCAGATACACCTCCGCGCCCACCATCCTCACCGGGTAGGCTGTTTCTTGGGCGCACCGCCGCGCCCCATTGCCAGCATTAACCGAGGAGTGGGCCATTTCCCAAAGGAGTGCACAGATCAGAACGAAACTCCCTGTCACCCACCCATGCCCCTTCTCGCTGTTCGATGTTTTTCCATGTCGCTGCCGCAGCTGCGCTGAAAGCACCATGCCTCCACTCCCTTTCTCCCTCATTTTCCTCCCACAGCGACCACAAGCCCGTGCTGGCAGAGTCTGACATCAACTCGTATGCTCTGCCAGTGACCATGGACCCCTCAGAGGACACCTTCCTCTCTCTTCCTCTCTCATACGCCCCCCAGTTGCTCCCATTTGTCCCCCCATGCATGCATGCAGCGACCACAAGCCGGTGCTGGCCGAATTCGACATCACCACGTACGCTCTCCCAGTGACAATGGATCCCTCAGAGGACGCCGTGCAGCTGCTGCAGCTAAGCAAGGGGCACAGCGACAAGGACGACATGCGCTGGCACCTGCACGTGAGTATTGTTTCTCAAACCCAGTGCATTATTAGTCATGTGTGAGGTTGGGCTGTGCAGTGAGGTGAGGGTGAGCAAGGGGCACAGCGATAAGGATGACATGCGCTGGCACCTGCACGTGAGTCATCTGTTTGTTGCTTGGCAAATTGGTTGTATCCTGCACGTGAGTCATCCCATCGTGGCTGCATGAATGCTGAATTCGTTGCTTAGAATTCTACAAAAAAAAATGTTTTGAGTCAACTAAAAACTCGTTTTTTGTTTTGAGTCGACTCAAAACACGGCTCAGTTCACGCGGATTATATGTGGGGAATTTGTTTGTTGCATGGCAAACTGGTTGTAACCTGCACGTGAGTCGTCTCATCGTGGCTGCATGAATGCTGAATTCGTTGCTTAGAATTCTAAAAAAAATCCTCAAAAGTTTTGCCCTTCATCAAACCAAGCCTCTCAACTACCTTCCTGGCTGACCACAACCCCCTCCTTCCGGGCTCACCACAACCCCCTCCCTCCCAGCAAACGCCAACAGCTTCAACACACATCGACATGCCTATGTGAACCCTTATTTTCCTACTCCCCTTCGCTCCTCTTCTTCTCCTCCGTTTTTCTCTTCTTCTCTTCTCCCCTTCGCTCCTCTTCTTCTCCTTCTCCCTTTCTTTCCTCTTCTTCCCGCTTCTCCCCTTCCCCTCCACATCGCCCCATGTCCACATCGCCCCATGTCCACATCGCCCGCCCATCAGCTCTTGGAACTGAGGGGACACAACCTCCTCCCAGCAGGCGCCAACGCCTGGTGACCCTGACCTCACATGCCTCTCAACGCTTCGCTCTCTTCTCCCCCCTCTCCTCGTCCTCTCATCTCCCCATATCCCCTCCACATCGCCCGCCCATCAGCTCTTGGAACTGAGGGGCCACAACCTCCTCCCAGCAGGCGCCAACGCCTGGTGACCCTGACCTCACATGCCTCTCAACGCTTCGCTCTCTTCTCCCCCTCTCCTCGTCCTCTCATCTCCCCATATCCCCTCCACATCGCCCGCCCATCAGCTCTTGGAACTGAGGGGACACAACCTCCTCCCAGCAGGCGCCAACGCCTGGTGACCCTGACCTCACATGCCTCTCAACGCTTCGCTCTCTTCTCCCCCTCTCCTCGTCCTCTCATCTCCCCATATCCCCTCCACATCGCCCGCCCATCAGCTCTTGGAACTGAGGGGCCACAACCTCCTCCCAGCAGACGCCAACGGCTTGTCTGACCCGTAAGTCACCTCTCCCCCCTGAACATCTTCACTCGTTCCCCTTCACTCCCCTGCACTCCCCTGCACTCCCCTGCACTCCCATGCACTCCCCTGCACTCTCCTGCACTCCCCTGCACTCCCCTGCACTCCCCTGCACTCCCCTGCACGTCCTTCCCTCTCCCCCACGTCCTTCCCTCTCCCCCACGTCCTTCCCTCTCCCCCACGTCCTTCCCTCTCCCCCACGTCCTTCCCTCTCCCCCACGTCCTTCCCTCTCCCCCACGTCCTTCCCTCTCCCCCACGTCCTTCCCTCTCCCCCACGTCCTTCCCTCTCCCCCACGTCCTTCCCTCTCCCCCACGTCCTTCCCTCTCCCCCACGTCCTTCCCTCTCCCCCACGTCCTTCCCTCTCCCCCACGTCCTTCCCTCTCCCCCACGTCCTTCCCTCTCCCCCACGTCCTTCCCTCTCCCCCACGTCCTTCCCTCTCCCCCACGTCCTTCCCTCTCCCCCACGTCCTTCCCTCTCCCCCACGTCCTTCCCTCTCCCCCACGTCCTTCCCTCTCCCCCACGTCCTTCCCTCTCCCCCACGTCCTTCCCTCTCCCCCACGTCCTTCCCTCTCCCCCACGTCCTTCCCTCTCCCCCACGTCCTTCCCTCTCCCCCACGTCCTTCCCTCTCCCCCACGTCCTTCCCTCTCCCCCACGTCCTTCCCTCTCCCCCACGTCCTTCCCTCTCCCCCACGTCCTTCCCTCTCCCCCACGTCCTTCCCTCTCTCCCCCACGTCCTTCCCTCTCCCCCACGTCCTTCCCTCTCCCCCACGTCCTTCCCTCTCCCCCACGTCCTTCCCTCTCCCCCACGTCCTTCCCTCTCCCCCACGTCCTTCCCTCTCCCCCACGTCCTTCCCTCTCCCCCACGTCCTTCCCTCTCCCCCACGTCCTTCCCTCTCCCCCACGTCCTTCCCTCTCCCCCACGTCCTTCCCTCTCCCCCACGTCCTTCCCTCTCCCCCACGTCCTTCCCTCTCCCCCACGTCCTTCCCTCTCCCCCACGTCCTTCCCTCTCCCCCACGTCCTTCCCTCTCCCCCACGTCCTTCCCTCTCCCCCACGTCCTTCCCTCTCCCCCACGTCCTTCCCTCTCCCCCACGTCCTTCCCTCTCCCCCACGTCCTTCCCTCTCCCCCACGTCCTTCCCTCTCCCCCACGTCCTTCCCTCTCCCCCACGTCCTTCCCTCTCCCCCACGTCCTTCCCTCTCCCCCACGTCCTTCCCTCTCCCCCACGTCCTTCCCTCTCCCCCACGTCCTTCCCTCTCCCCCACGTCCTTCCCTCTCCCCCACGTCCTTCCCTCTCCCCCACGTCCTTCCCTCTCCCCCACGTCCTTCCCTCTCCCCCACGTCCTTCCCTCTCCCCCACGTCCTTCCCTCTCCCCCACGTCCTTCCCTCTCCCCCACGTCCTTCCCTCTCCCCCACGTCCTTCCCTCTCCCCCACGTCCTTCCCTCTCCCCCACGTCCTTCCCTCTCCCCCACGTCCTTCCCTCTCCCCCACGTCCTTCCTCTCCCTCTCCCCCACGTCCTTCCCTCTCCCCCACGTCCTTCCCTCTCCCCCACGTCCTTCCCTCTCCCCCACGTCCTTCCCTCTCCCCCACGTCCTTCCCTCTCCCCCACGTCCTTCCCTCTCCCCCACGTCCTTCCCTCTCCCCCACGTCCTTCCCTCTCCCCCACGTCCTTCCCTCTCCCCCACGTCCTTCCCTCTCCCCCACGTCCTTCCCTCTCCCCCACGTCCTTCCCTCTCCCCCACGTCCTTCCCTCTCCCCCACGTCCTTCCCTCTCCCCCACGTCCTTCCCTCTCCCCCACGTCCTTCCCTCTCCCCCACGTCCTTCCCTCTCCCCCACGTCCTTCCCTCTCCCCCACGTCCTTCCCTCTCCCCCACGTCCTTCCCTCTCCCCCACGTCCTTCCCTCTCCCCCACGTCCTTCCCTCTCCCCCACGTCCTTCCCTCTCCCCCGCGTCCTTCCCTCTCCCCTACGTCCTTCTCTCTCCCCCACTCCTGACCTGTCTTGCTGCTGCATCCATTCTTTGGAAAGTACCATATCCTTGCTACATATCAACCCCTGCCATGCATTCTCGTCGATACGCCCTCATGCTCTCGTCTCGGTTCTCTGCCCCATTTCTGGTGTCTCTTGAGTCGACTCAAAAGGTGTGTTTTGGTGTGTTTTGAGTCGACTCAAAAGGTGTGTTTTGAGTCGACTCAAAAGGTGTGTTTTGGTGTGTTTTGAGTCGACTCAAAACACACCTCTTACTCTCGGTTCACTGCCCCATTTCTCTACCCCTCTCCCACCCCTGCAGCTACATCCGCTTTGTGGGTCCCAACCTATTCAAGTCTTTCCAGACCAAGAAATGTTACAAGACACTCAACCCCGTGTGGAGCGCTGATGTGAGTGCTAAGACGACTTTTGAGGCGCCTCAAAAGTCGTCTCAAGACACTCAACCCCGTGTGGAGCGCTGATGTGAGTGCCGGAAGGAGTAGTGGGAATGGTGGGAGTGGTGGGAGTGGTGGGAGTGGTGGGAATGGTGGGAGTGGTTTTTGAGGCGCCTCAAAAACGACCACTGATGTGAGTGCTGGAAGGAGTAGTGGGAATGGTGGGAGTGGTGGGAGTGGTGGGAGTGGTGGGAGTGGTGGGAGTGGTGGGAATGGTGGGAGTGGTTTTTGAGGCGCCTCAAAAACGACCACTGATGTGAGTGCTGGAAGGAGTAGTGAGAATGGTGGGAGTGGTGGGAGTGGTGGGAGTGGTGGGAGTGCTGGGTGGGGTTGTGTTGGTTGTTCTAGGGTAGCTGACGTTGCTGTTGCGGTGCGGGCAGGTAGAAGGGCTTGTAGCACCTCCATTGTGAACGATTTCAACATCGCTTTCAGGTACGTTGTGAGCTTGGTTGTGAGGTTTGGTTATGAGGCTTGGGTGTGAGCCTTGGTAATCAAGAGCCTCGGTTATAAGCTTGGTATGTTGTGGGACTCAGTTGAGCGTTGGACGAATACGAATGCATCCCACGTTCTGCCTGCCTACCTCCTTCCCTCTCTGTCCCAACCCCCCCTTTCTTCCATCTTCCTCCCCACTCCTACAGGATGTACCCGCTATAGTGCTGGAGCACCAGTCACTGCATTACTATGAGAAGGACTATCTACTCGCAGCTGTGTTCGATTACGATAAGACCAATAAGGACGACCCTATAGGTAAGGGGTGCCTCTATCCATCCATTCTTGCCCATCTGTACCCTTTAGAGGCAGTGCCCTCTACACCAGTCACTGCATTATTACGAGGACTGTCGACCAGCAGCCGTGTTCGATCAAGATAAGACCAACAAGACGACCCTATAGGTATGTGGTCGTTCTGGGCAACCATGTTTGCTCATCTGTACCCGTTAGAAGCTGTATCCACTATGAGATCTACCTTCTACAAGCCATACCCACTATATGACGCCGGTCTGTTTCTAATCGCGTATGTTATCATTCCTTATCATGGGAAGAATGCGAGACTGTGCGAGGCCAAAAGGCCCAACCACTGGTTTTCTTACTGATCTACCTCAATTCAATGCCCCCACCCCACCAGGATACGCTGCAATCCCATTGGCTGATCTTGTGAAGGCCACGTGGGAGCAGTCCTCCCAGCCAGTCAGCTTCCGGGTAGAAGTGACCTACAAGGGGTTGCCAGCTGGCGAGCTGGAGGGCAGCTTCCGTCTTTTCTGGGCCGTAAACAAGCTCAGCGAGGGCAAATGTGCGCAGATGTGATTGTGTTGAGGAGAATGGGCGGCAGATGTGAGAGAGTTGAGGGGAATGGGCTGCAGATGTTATTGTGTTGAGAGGAATGGGCGGCACGTGTGATTGTTCTCACAGGAAGGATAGGCGGCAGGTGTGACTGTTGTCACAGGCAGGATGGGCGGCAGGTGTGACTGTTCTCACAGGCAGGATGGGCGGCAGGTGTGACTGTTCTCACAGGCAGGATGGGCGGCAGGTGTGACTGTTCTCACAGGCAGGATGGGCGGCAGGTGTGACTGTTCTCACAGGCAGGATGGGCGGCAGGTGTGACTGTTCTCACAGGCAGGATGGGCGGCAGGTGTGACTGTATTGTTGGCAAGTGCAGCAGAATGTGAATCGTCCACTCCAAGAGTGGGCAGCAGAGAAAGCAAGAGCATGGAATGAGATGGATCAGAAGCTTACAAGATGAGGGCCAGACCAGACCGGACCCATAAGCGTCTGTTTCCGGGCAGATGGGTGGCTGCAATTAGCACACTGGACTCAGTCACCACCTTGCTTTGTGTGGGAATGGGAGCAATGGTGGTGGCAGTGGTGGCCCTGTGTCTTGAAATATCACTCTTGAGGTGTCTCACAAGCCGAGATTGAGAGGGGGCATATGTTGCGGTCAGATGTAGTAAATACGGGGTTGCTTTTGTTTGCTTTTGTTTGTTGGTTTTTGTAAGCGACTCGTGCTTTTTCCGCATAGCTGCTAGTGTTGCTACGAACGGGTGTAGGAGAATCTAGTTCGCAGCGTCTTCTTTAGATCTGGTGTAGGTATAAGTTAGGGCACAGCCCACCTAGGAATATATGTGTATTGCTGTAACAGCCTTATTTGAGACTTAAAAGGTATATTATCCAACGGAGCGTAACTAATCTATATTATGGATTGAGGGTACATTCCGCGCTGGACACTTTCTCAAAAAAAGTGTCCCAATCGAGTGTACCGCTCCGAACCGAACTAAACCAGAGACGCGAAAATTTCGACAATGTTTGAAACTAGGGTGTAATTAGGTGTAATACGATGCAATGCGGTAGAATCGATTCAGACACTTTCGATTGGGACACGTCCAGCGCGGAATGTGCCCTGAGTAGTAACTGTTTCTTCAAATGCAATGCTGCTCATAGAGGTGGCTAACTGTAACGAAGAACAATGTTCCCCTCCCGTGTATTTCATCTTGTAGTGCTGTAAGAAAAGAATGTATGTGCAACAGGGGTGGTGTACCCCAGCTTCGACTCTCAGCGTCCATTCATTCCCTCACCATATTGCGCAAGTGATTGTCAGTGAGCCTCCAATGTGGTGAGGTGGTTTAGACTGAGCCTGGATAATTCGTGCAGCATGCCTGGACCTGGAGTGGTGCAAGCATGCTGTCATGCAGTCAGTCATACAGCCCATGCAACCAGTGCCCTTTTAAGGCAGCAGCAGGCATGCCTGCATGTACCCATCATGTATCCTGTAACCATGCCGACATGTACCCATGTGGTTCATGTACCCACATAGGCAAGTACCTAAGTGCTCCATAGACCCTATGCTAAGGCAGCAGCAGACACTGTCCCGAGTAGATTTTGTTGACGTCGCACACCTGATGGCACACGGGAGGAGTAATACACAGCAACTTAGCAAGGCAGCTTAGCAAGGCAGCTTAGCAAGAGCAGCGTCAATTGCAACCAGACAGACTTCATACCATGTGCCTCATATCTATAACAGGTTGCACCACAACCACACGGCAACGCGCACCTCATGAGCAAGCAAGCAGCACTCTTCCGATCTCAAAAGCCGTGACATAGACCTCATCTCGATGCTTAGCTGGTAGCATTTCGTAAGTCACAAAAGTGCAGACTGTCTTACAGCCATCAAGCTGTGCAATTGCAGCCATCAAGCTGTGCAATTGCAGCCATCAAGCTGTGCAATTGCAGCCATCAAGCTGTGCAATTGCAGCCATCAAGCTGTGCAATTGCAGCCATCAAGCTGTGCAATTGCAGCCATCAAGCCATCAGTTCCCTTAAAGTCATGATGACATGGATCCATCTCACCTTAAATGCAGCTTGGAGAAACTTACAGCTGTAATCACACAAGCTACGCAAGAACGCACGTCCTGGCAGCAGCATGAACACCACGCGGCGCGGTCTCTATCTGCCTTGACGTTGTGATGTGATGTGATGTGCGTCTCACACCAGCATTTAGCCAGAACAACTTGAATTCTGGATCGCGTCGCAAACCGTGCACACACATATGGTCAGGCAGCAACACGAGCAGCGCCACGGTATCGATTTCAAAGCTGTGCCTGAAATCGAGCAGCTCACTGAGATATGTCAGAAATGTCCCTGTTTTACTATACTGCTAAGAATTTGGGTTCTGAGATCGTTCTGAGCGCTTAGTTTTACATAGAGCGGAATTCTACCGCTGTTGATCCTTTGCTTTAAGTCTACTACACGCACGCAGCTCACTGAGATATGTCAGAAACTCGTATGGTCCGGCAGCAACACGAGCAGCGCCATGGTCTCGATTTCAATGCTGTGCCTAAAAACGGGCAGCTCAACTCGGGGTTGAGCCTGAAAAACTCGGAGGGTTGGGTCACACAAGCTGTCTAAAAACATGTCCCCGCAGCAACACAAGCAGTATTGCTTATATCTCAAGGCCATGACACGCGTCTCACCTCGGGGTTGCGTCTCACCTCGGGGTTGCATGTCACCTCGGGGTTGCATCTCACCTCGGGGTTGCATCTCACCTCGGGGTTGCATCTCACCTCAGGGTTGCATCTCACCTCGGGGTTGCATCTCACCTCGGGGTTGCATCTCACCTCGGGGTTGCATCTCACCTCGGGGTTGCATCTCACCTCGGGGTTGCATCTCACCTCGGGGTTGCCTCTCACCTCGGGGTTGCATCTCACCTCGGGGTTGCATCTCACCTTGGGGTTGCCTCTCACCTCGGGGTTGCGCTTGAAGAATTCGGAGTTGGGATCACACAAGGCGGCTCGGGGCACGAGGGAGCAGAGGGTGTCTCCAGGCCTCACGATCCAGATCCTGGAACCTCAGACAAGGCAACAAGGGAACCACAACCACAGAGCAGGCTCAGCAAGAGAAACTCATGTCAAAGAGTCTACTTTGCACGAACAAATGAATGGAAGCGAGCAGAGCAACGATCCCACGATGTTGGAAACATGTCGAAACCCTGTGCTCACCAAATGCTCATGCATCCAGTTATCCATACAAGATGTATGTCACTCGTTTCTTGTTTGTTACACCACACGGGACACGATATCTGCAGCGACGCTTCCTAGTTTTGAGGCGCCTCAAATCTGCAGCGATGCTTCCTTACTTTCCATCCATTTCCTTGGCACTCCCATTCCTGATCCGCCATCAGATGCGAGATGGAGTGTCTCATGTTCGGAACAACGTCGTTTGAGCATGTTAAGCCCGTGACAGGCAGTTTTGGTGGTCGAAGCAGAGTGGGTCAATCGGGCAGAGATTGAAGTCAGCCCGTTTCAGTGGTCATACAACGGCCGACCACATGTGGAGAGGGTACGGAGTCGTGTTGGGGAGGGGAGCAGGGAAACGGAGAGAGGGGAGATACAGAGCAGGAATGACAAAGCTGTCAACATTCAGACGCTGCGGCGATATTGTTGAGGGAATTTCGTGGAGTAGGGGCCGTAAGGGCCGTAAGGGCCGTAAGGGCCGTAAGGGCTTGGAAAGAATCATAACATCACTCTACTGTAGCTAATTGGAGTCACTTTTGAAAATTATTGTCAGTGACTCCCAAATTCGGTGGACGGGACAGGCAGGGGAAAAAAAATAACACATAATTGCCAGGAACCAGGATTTGTTATAATACTGAAACGCCCACCAGTCACCCACTCACTCACCTCATTCGCTGCGCCACCTGCAGCCCCTCAGCGCCTCCACATGCTGCAAGCAGGGACGCGGTTCGGCCAACCTTTCAACAGGCCCTTGAAATGCGCACTAGCTAGCGCCCACTCTCTCACCTCATTCGCTGCGCCACCTGCAGGGGCGTCAGTGCCTCCACATGCTGCCTGGGACGGCGCGGTATGAGCACTGCTGCTGCCAGCACAGCCACTCCCCCGATGGCGAGCACCTGAGAGCAGGGGGAGGGGTGAGCGAATGGCGTGGGGGATTTTTGACGCGCCTAAAAAATCGCGAGCACCTGAGAGGAGGGGGAGGGGTGAGCGAATGGCATGGGGGGAGGGAGAAGAACTAAGAGGCAGGGCACGGTATGAGCACTGCCAGCTGCCAGCACAGCCACCCGTCCAATGGCGAGCACCTGAGATGGTGGTGAGGGGCGGATGAGTAGGTTGGCAATGGGGGATAGGAGGAGACCAAGCGGCAGGCTGGGACACGAGCACCACTGCTGCTGCCAGCCAGCCAGCACAGCCACCCCTCCAATGGCGAGCGCCTGAGAGAGGGGAGAGTGAGTGGGGTGGCATTGGGAGAGACGAGGCAAGAGGCAGGGCGCAGCATGAGCGCAGCATCCATGTATGTACCATCCCATCCCATCCCGTCCCATCCCATCCCATCCCATCCCATCCCATCCCATCCCATCCCATCCCATCCCATCCCATCCCATCCCATCCCATCCCATCCCATCCCATCCCATCCCATCCCATCCCATCCCATCCCATCCCATCCCATCCCAACCCATCCCATCCTGCCACACTCTCACTCACATGTTTAGCGATAGGCCCCAGGCCATCCATCCACCGCTGCACCTGCCCCACCACCCCAACCTTCTCTGCAACTGCTCGCCTCCTCACCCTCCTCATCCCCTTCCGCTGCCCCTGCTGCTGCCTCCTCTCCACCCCCTCCCCCTCCCTCTCCGCCTTCCCTCCCTCACCCATTTCTCCCTTCCCTCCCTTCACAACCCCTCGACTAGCACTGCGGCTAGCACTGAGACTGGCATTGCCATTGCACAGACTAGCAGCACTGTCTGAGGCGCTCTTGCTGGAGCTCCCAGTGCCAGTGTCAGTCCAGCCACTGGTAGCACTCCACCGACTGCCATACTCCATCCCACCGCTCTGGTTCACAATCTGACCGCTATCCAGAGCCCCTTGGCTGGCACGCGGGCGTCGCTTCAGCGGGGAGCTCTTACAAGGAGATTGCTCATAAGGGGACGCGGTCTGGCCGTACGTTGCAGCGCCGGTTGCAGCGCTGCTGCTGGGGCAGCTGCTGTCTCTTCTGCTGCTTTCCCGCCTGCTGCTCTCTCGCCTGCTGCTGCTGTGAATGCCACGCCTCTCCTTGGAGCGCATGCTGGACATGTCACATACACCTGCCGTTGCTGCCGCTCCTTGGGTGGCTGAACCTTCTGGGGTGGCTGGGCCTTCTTGCAGTGATGCTGGTGATGATAGCGCTGCTGCCCTGCCTGCTGCTGACATGCTCACCGCTGCTCCTGCTTCAGCCGTTGCCGCGTTCAGATCCACTGAAGCTGTTTTGGAACCAGTCTGGTCTCCTGTTGTACCTGAATCCACTCCCTCCTCCTCCTCCTCCGTTCCTTCTCTCCCCTCTCCTCCCACTGCAGCTGCCTCAGCAGCTGCCGTCTCTCCTGCTGCCACTCGCATTGCCATTCCTTTTCCGCCTCTTCCTCCCAGCTCCTCTCCTTCGTCGTCTCCTCGTCCTCCTCCTCTCAAATCTCCTCCTCCTTCCAACCTGCCCATCACACTCCCTTCCGACCTCGCTGGGGCTCCAACGAGTGCCCTCAAACTGCCGGCACTACCAGCAGCGCCCTGCCCTCTCCTCAACACCCGCTGCTCCCCCTGCCCTCCCTGCCCTCCCTGCCCCACCTGTTGCCCCTCCCTCCGCTGTCTGCGCACCTCCTCCCAAAACCGGTCATCCTCTGCCCACCGCTGCAGCAGCAACCCCAAGTGCTCCCCCTTCCCCCCACCCTCCCTCCTCCCCAAGCCGTCCCCTCTCCCCAAACCCTCGCTTCTCCCCATCACCCCAGTCCTCCCCACCACCACGCTCTCCCCGCTTCCCACAAGCTCCCCCTGCTTCCCCCCTAGCGCGCCCCTGCTCATGCCTCTACGGCACCCACTGACATCACTGTACCGACCAGGGAAAGGGCGCAGGGAGGCCCTCTGCCCACTGTTTTCAGAAGCAGCAGCAGCACTACAACTGCCACTGCCACTGCCACTGCCACTGCCACTGCCACTGCCACTGCCACTGGCACTGCCACTGGTACTGGAACTGCCATTGTCGCCATTACAACTCCTGCCCCTGCTACCACAAGCACTGCCACTGCCACTGACAGCTGAGCTGGCCGCTGAAACGCCCTGCTGCTGCCACGTGTTCATCAGCTGAGTCAGCGACCCCACATCACTAAACCTACGGGGCGGGAAGGAGGATAAGGGAGCCTCCTCTCTTGTGGCACCGAAGAGGAAATCACCCAGGCGACAACTGCTCGCACCACCATTGCTGTTGCTGCTGCTGCCAATCCAGGTCGTTGGAACAGCTGAAACAGTAGCAGCTTTGGAGAAGAAAATATCCCGAGCCACACTCGAGCCTGTGGCCCCTCTGCTGCCCGAACCTGCGCCACGTTCGGATCCCAAACCTGCCGAACCCCAGGCTTCCGAACCTGCACTGGTTTGGACCTCCAGGCCAACAGCACCAGCAGCAGTGACCGAACCTGCCCCGGTTAAAGCGAGCAAATTAGCACTGCCAACGCCATAGCTGGTAAAGGACCCGAATATGCTGCCCCCTCCAATGCTGCTACGATTGGATCCTGTAGGCCAGTGGCGGCTGAAGGAAAGGCTGCTGCTGGCAGTGGTGGCAGAAGAAGAGGGGGCGTGTAGCTGTGACTGTGTTCGGGCCTCTGTTCTGCTCGCAGCAGCTCTCCTCATCTGTGCGGTCTGTCTGTGATACGCCCCCCACCCTCCTCCTCCCCTTCCACTATTGTCCCCTCCCGGCCCAAGACAGAATTCACCAGTATGGATTGCACCTGCACCTGCAGTTGCAGCAGCAGCAACACCACCAGCACCATCATGACCAGCAGCAGCAACAGCAGGGTCACAAGCAGCACCAGCAGTAGCGCCAGCATCAGCAGCGTTTGTAGTGTTTCCCCCAGCAGAGAACTCCAGGTCCACCTTGCGCACACCCAAGCCTGCACCCAGGCTTTCACCCGGCCGCCTTCTTACCCGCTTACAAGGCCCTTCGTTATCAACCACAAACCCGTCTTCCTGCGCCACCCGCGCCAGAGTGGATGCTGCTGCTGCTACACGCTCATTTGGCGATAACTTTGCTGCTGCTGTTGCTGCTAGTGATGATGCTGATGCTGCTGCTGTTGCTGCTCGTGATGATGGTGATGGTGTGGTTTTGGCAGCAGAGGCGGGACGGGAGACGTTGGAGGGAGACAGGGTGGGAGTGACAACAGAGGGTGGCGTAGCAGTGGAAGAGGCAGACAGAGCGGCAGAGGCTTGTGTCAACTGCACCTCCCCTCCCTCCCTTTTTTCTACCTCCTTTCCCACCTCATCTCCCCTCTCCACTGCCCCCTCCTTTACCCCCTTATCTCCCCCTTCCTCTCCGCCCTCCTCTCCGCCCTCTTTTTCATCCTGCTCCCCTCGCTGTTCCTTCTGTGCTTCCTCCCCATTCCCTCCCTCCTCGCCACCCACTACACTCAACCTTTCACTCCCATCCTCCTCCTTGTCGCTTGCTCCCACGTCTCGCTGACTCAACTCAACCTGCTGCCGAACCTACCATGCAAGGAATGCAGTGAGGGAGGGAAATGCAAGGCGAACGAGCCATGGGCAGCAAGACGGTAGCAAATGGGTAGAGCATAGATACATGGGGTAGCAGCACGCACATGGTTTGCGCATGGATAGCACATAAGAAGCACATGAGTAGCACATGGATAGCGCATGGATGGCATGTAGGAAGCACATGGGTAGCGCGTGGGTAGCAAGTGGGCAGCACATAGGGGCAGCACACAGATAGCTTTTCGTACCATGGATGCAATCCACGTGTATGAAGAAGTGTTTTGAGACGTCTCAAAACACTTTTCGTACCATGGATGCAATCCTTGCTTTCTCCATCCCTGTCAGCATGAAGCTGGACTTGACATGAACTCGCGCGCCATTGGTCCACGTCAGCATCTCATCTCGAAACCGCTTCTCCACTATTGCAGGCACTCTGAGGGCTGTGGCACAGAATGTGGATGTCATCATGACATGACAGGATGGGGATGACGTGGCAGGCAGGAGAGAATGAGGTGGGACCACAACGGAATTCTTAATACCGCACCAAGAGCGAATGACGTTTACAGGTCTGGCTGAGGATGGTTCCTTGTGAGTCGAGGAGCGAGAGGACCACTGGATCCACCAGGTTGAGCACGGGGCTGCATAGCAGTGCACATAGCACCAGACCAGACCAGTGCAGCATACGCACACCATGTGTTGATGCGTTCGTCACGCATGCACGTGCAGCACATGTGTTCACACTCCATATGTATGCACGCACGCGGAACGCACACACCCAAGAGTGCAGAGCAAAGGAACACAGGTGGGGGGTGCCATCGGAGTGACGATGACGCGCAAACTCGCACTCACACTCACATCCATTGGACAATGATAAACAGTGATGAGCAGGTTGAATTAAACACCAGAAAGACGACTCAATAATCAGAGGGGAAAGGGAGCAACAAAATCCAGCCAGCGCTTGAACAGAGTGCAAAAGAGAGTGCCTGAATCTCGTGACTGTGCTGAGGAGTGATAGAGAGTGGTGGAAGGTGGTGGAGTGCGGTGCAATGTGCTGGAGGGCGGTGGTAGGGGGCGTACAAGGAGAACTCCGCATTGAAGGCAGGAAGCAGGAGAGCATCTCCCAGAGATGCCTTCACGGACGGCTGAGGACCCGTGAAGAAAACCTTTGATCCGACCGTGACTGGACCAGGGGGGTTAGATGAGAGATCAGTGCTTGTGTTGGTAGCGTTATATACGTATACCATGTGTATGTATGTACACACACACACACGCATGCACGCACACACGCGCGCGCACACACACAAACACACATGTATAACAAAAGAAGACAATGGAAGCGGAAAGGGGATTGAGAGGCAGTCAAAGCAAGTAGCTGAATAAAAATCAAATTTATATAACTTTGGCAAGGCGATCCATGAGAGGGGGAGACTGACTGAGGGGTTGGGGGAACGGGTATGTGGGGGTGGGGTTGGTTGTTGTTGGGGCAGGTGGTTGACAAATTTAAACGAGCGTGTTTCGAGAGGAATAAGTTCTGTATAGAGGCGACCCACCCACCTTGCACGGAGAACTGATCGCCTGCAGAATCCTCCAGCCATGCACCGCCAGAGCCATGGAAATGTCGATCATGCAGCATGACACACACCACTCCCAGCCATTGTCCATGTGGCACACCCCATCATGCAAGGGCATTCCATTTCATGAATCGCTCCCACCACATGTACCACATGCACCACATGCGTCACATGCACCACACGCATCACATTCACCACAAGCATCACATTCACCACACGCATCACATGCACCACACGCATCCCATGCACCACACGCAACGCATCACATGCACCACACGCAACGCATCACATGCACCATACGCATCACATGCACCACACCACACGCATCCCATGCGTCACATGCCCACAACATGCATAGAGCGCTCCAGCACAGCGGTGCATGCAACACACAAATCAAGGCCACCACCATTTCAGGTCAGCGTCGGAAGGCAAGTTCCCGAGAACCATAAAAAAAACCGTAAGGGTAATTGTCAAGAAAAACGGCCGTTGATTGTTGAGGGCCTGTCGAACCGTTACCTTGATTCCCTGGCACGTTGACGCATTCCAAAACTGCACATATGGAATACGAGAACGACAAGATTAGAAAATAGCGACTGGAGCGGGAGGTAACCATTCTCGACCATTCTCGACCGCACGCAACCTACATTCGCGTATACAACGAGGTTGTCACTCAGGATTTTAACTCCCTGCGAACTTCATGGTTTCAACAACGTACCCTGCACGCAGATTGTTCCCGGCATTGTCGCTCCTACGTCAAACAAGCAACTGTTACTCTCTGTTTGACAAAGAATCCGGCACTCAGAATTTAAACTCCCTGAGAACTCCATATGGTTTCAACAACGTACCCTGCACGCAGATTGTTCCCGGCATTGTCGCTCCTACGCCAAACAAGCAACGGTTGCTCTCTGTTTGACAAAGAATCCGCTTTGACAGGCGATGAAGCACCTTACGCGACCACAGCCACAGCTGTTTCGCAGTCAGGATGCAAGCAGAAGGGGAACTTAGTCTGGTCCTGAATGCAGTAGGGATTGGAATGCGCGTCGCATTCGTCAGAATACTAAGATTTTGCTAAGCTTCTTAATCGTTTAGGCTAGTTTTTTCGGATCAGCTTGTCGATCAGCGTATCGCACGGATAATGCGGAGCAAGGATGAGGTTGATGCATGAAAACAAGCGCACGTTCCAAAAAGGACTCGTGTTAAGAAGTTAGAAGCACGCGCGTCTGTTTCTGTGATGCACAAACAATGCCAGCCGTCGTTTTGTGGTTGCTGCAGCCTGAACAGCGGATGCTTTTGATGGCGGCTCTGGTTCTAGGCTTGTCATCCTGTGTGTCTCTTGCGGCTGCCACTAGCCCCAGAACGGATCCATTCCATGCCATACACGCCGCACTCGAACCCTGCTGTATCTGTCTACATCCTACTCAGCCACGTTTAACCTAGAAACACCAACAGCGATCCTGCCAGCGATCATGCCTGATCCTCCCATCAACTTGCATTACAAACTGAATCCTCACGGAAAATGGAGCACAAGAATTTCCATGGAGAGAGATGGGAACAGAGCAATAGAACAGACACGGTTTTGTGTACGCTGGATGTGTGAGAGGAGGGAAGGGGAACAGAGGGGTTTTGGGGGTGTGAAGATGGGTGGAAGAGGGTAGGTCAGCATACAAACATCAAGCATGATGAGTGATGGGCGGGATGAGGAGAAATCATCCTGCCTTTCCGACCTGAAGCATCAATCATTTCTGAGAGAATTGCTCCAGTGGCCATTTCGGTGATTCTCCCTTGCTCGGGTGGCCTCGAATTGCTCGAGTGGCCACCGAATTTGGTGATAATTGCTCGGGTGGCCACGCCAGGGGATTCCCGACTGCTTTTTTTTTCCATGCGCATTACCCTACCAGAGCTAGTAGCCACGAAATTACCCATTCGTGCGAGTGGCATCCCGAGGTATTCTTTCGTACTATTCCGCACCCAAAAATTTCGCCAGGGTGGCGGGCGCGAACAACAGTAGATGAGCGATCAATTGGTGCAATTGCGCGACCAATGATCGGTAGGTATATCAATTCCGCAACCAATAAGCAACCGATCATATAAACGACCGATCATAAACTTCAATTGACCCCTTTCTACCCGCCACTGCAATAACGACCGCGCATGATTCGCCAATAATCTGCGCGGTCCATTTTCATACAATTAACGGTCCATTTCACGGTGTTATATACAATTAACGGCAAAACAAAACCTATGTTTACGTAGCTACGACGAACCAAAATTATGTCGGGAGAAGATGTATATGGTACTTATCTTTAGGATTTAAAATGTTTCATATACACACACAATTTATCATTACGAATGCGCGTATATGTGGGTTATTGCGCGGTCTTATGTAATATATGATTGCGACTATGATTGGACGTATTCGATTGGACGCGCAATGTCGTCACATATTCTGCGACCAAAACCAACCAATCACGCGCAGTCAAATATTTTCTAGCAAACCGACGAACGATCATTTAGTTATATGGTTGAGAATGCAATGGTGGCCCCTGATTGGACGGTCATTGGCAAAAAATGGACCGCGCAAATTATTGACGAATCATGCGCGGTCGTTATTGCAGTGGCGGGTAGAAAGGGGTCAATTGAAGTTTATGATCGGTTGTTTATATGATCGGTTGCTCATTGGTTGCGGAATTGATGTACCTACCGATCATTGGTCGCGCAATTGCACCAATTGAACGCGCATCTACTGTTGTTCGCGCCCGCCACCCTGGCGAAATTTTTTGGTGCGGAATAGTACGAAAGAATACCTCGGGATGCCACTCGCACGAAAGGGTAATTTCATGGCTACTAGCTCTGGTAGGGTAATGCGCATGGAAAAAAAAGCAGTCGAGAATCCCCTGGCGTGGCCACCCGAGCAATTATCACCAAATTCGATGGCCACTCAAGCAATTCGAGGCCACCCGAGCAAGAGGGAATCACCGAAATGGCCACTGAAGCAATTCTCTCATCATTTTTGTGGCCACCTTCCGGATCTTGCGGACCTGCTGGGCCCATTCTGATCGCAACTGTCCCTATTATATACACACGCGTGACGTCATCACATGCCGCCCCGCCCGCCCTGGCACAGAGGGAATTGGGGCAAATCGAAAAACACGCGAAATCCCTCCGGGCCCCCGAAAATTCCCGGCTGACCATGCCAAAAAACCCTCCAAATCCCGCGGTTTCAATGTCGTATAGTTATGACAATATTTATGTCAGCCGTAACAGTGGAAATTGATGGAGCTCGATTTCAGAATAACTAGGCAAGAATGGATGAACTAGCAGAAGTTTGGGTACAAATATGAAACCCTAGTTGGGGTTGTACCCCATATTGGCTACCCCACTACAGCCTACCAACATATAACACATTACAATTTAACACACCCCCATAGGCAAAGTGGGGGAGAACAAAGGGTCACAAGACCAGTCCAGCAAAGCAACACAAGCCCAGGGTGGATCACAACGTCACCACACTCCGAGCACAAGCAAAGGCCACAAGGCCAGTTCACATGCAGTGCTAGATATAGTACAAGACAAGCAACACAGTGATCAAAACCTAGCAAGCAAGCAACAAGATATATATAAAGTACAGTACAAAGAATGTCAAGCAGTGAGCAAGTGAGGAAACGTGGACACAAGGCCTAAAGAAGTACAGTGCCGCTGATGATCACTAGGCGGGAGCGCCTTGGTGAAGATATCAGCAGTGTTGGCCTTCGAGTCCACGTACACAAGCCGAAGCTGACCGCGCTGCTGCAGCTCTCGAGCAAGAAAGTAGCGAAGAGCAATGTGCTTCGTCCTGTGCTCCAGTCTGTGCTCCTGACACAAGGCAAGGGCCGCCTTGTTGTCGCCGTACAGAACTGGAGGAGAACTAGGCCGCTCTCCCAAGTCAGTCAGCAGGTAGGTGAGCCAGCGTAACTCCTGGGCAGCCATGGCCGTGGCGTAGATCTCAGCCTCACAACTAGAGCTGAGAACAGAAGAAGAACGGGTGGACCGCCACGAGACAGAACCAGAGCCAAGGCTGAAGGTGTAACCCTGCGACGACCGCTGCGTAGCCAAGTCGTCCACCCAAGAAGCGTCCGAGTGACCAGTGAGAACAACTCTGTCGTGTCCTCCAAGCACCAGCCCCATGCCTGATGTACTGCACAAGTAACGCAGCACCCTCTTAGCAGCCTCCCAGTGCTCTCTCCTGTGTCTCCCAGGCGCAACGTAACGAGCAAGGATGCTAAGAGGGTACGCGAGGTCAGGTCGTGTGCAAGTCATCAGGTACATGAGGCAGCCTACAAGCTTTGGGTACGGGCCACTCGGCTCTACGGACTCGTCCGAAGGTGGAGCTGAGAGCGAGTGGCTGGTAGCCAGAGGTGTGGCCTGTGGTGAGGAGAACTGGAAGCCGAAGCGCTGAAGGACCTGCTGCACCATGTGTGACTGAGTCAGGGTGATGGTGCGGCGAGCTCTGTCCCGGGTGATCTGCAAGCCAAGGTAGCTACGCAGCTCACCCAGGTCAGTGCAGGTG